AGCTCAAAGCCCAAAGCAGGGCTCGATCCCACGACTGAAAATCATGACCTGGGCAAAAATCAAGAGTCAGATGCTTAACCAACTTAGCCACCCAGGCGCCCCAACAATAAAGTGTTTCTTTAAGGGGCGCCTGGGTAGCACAGTCAGTAGGGCCGCCGACTCCTAGTTTCAGCTCAGGTTGTGATCTCAGGGTCGTGAGATTGAGCCCCATGTTGGGCTTGGTGCTTAGTTAGCACAGAGTCTCCTTCAGATTCTCCCCATTCCCCTGCCCCTCCCACTCATGTACGCTCTTTCTCTCTCTCAAATAAATACATAAATTTAAATATATATATATATTAACAATAAAGTGTTTTGGGGGGCGCCTGGCTGGCTCAGTCAGTGGAGCACGTGACTCTTGATCTCGGAGTTGTGAGTTTGAACCCCATGTTGGGTGTGGAGATTACTTAAAAAGAAAAATCTTTTTTTTAATGTGTTTTTTAATTAAGGGATAGATACTGTCTTTTTAGACATAATGCTGTTGCACACTTAATAGCCTACAGCATAGTGTGAACATAACTTTTACAGGCACTAGGAAACCAGAAAATTCCTATGACCTGCTTTATTGCGGTGGGTCTGGAACGGAGGCCGCGATATCTCCGGGATACGTAAGTGGGATCCTGATACCTGTCACTCAGGCTTAGTCATCCTTAGTGCTCACAGAGAACACTCTTCAAGACACCAAGACAAAATAGGTTTTAAAGAATAATCATCATGAGAACAGGCGGCTGTCTGTGTTGCTGAGAACAGCGTGTGTTTTTTCCCCCCTCGGGCAAAGAACTGTTTTTCATTTTTTCTGCCTGCTTCTTATTTTTTTTCCCTGCCTCTTCCCTGGGTCCCCTTGCAGAAATGGCTCTGTGGCATATAGTGTCTGCGGCGGGCCCGGTGCGCGCCGATCGATGGCCCCTCTCAGCAGTGGGCAGACGGTGCTAATTAGGCTCTGAAGCCACTTTTCATGGGGGTGCAGACAGCGCTAGGCGGCCACGTGCCGAACCCCGCGCCGTGGCCCGGATCCCAGCACCGCGCCACTGCCCATCCATCCCATGGCTGCCGGCGTTCAGAAGACACAACAGCAGGATGAATACATATTCCTGTCGCTCTCAGAGCCAAGGGCAGAGCGACTGGCTCACGCTGGGTTCTGCTCCTGCAGAAAGATGGCTCTGCCTCGCGGGGTTTATTCATTTGTTTGATAACTTTACTGAGCTGGGACTCACATACCGTATGATTCCCCCAGTTAAGTGTGCCATGCAGTGGCTTTTCGTAGAGCCACAATCCCCATGATTGGCAGTAGCACCCCAAGAGAAACCTTATACCCACTAGCCATCACCCCCCATTCCCCCCGCCAGTCCTACACGACTGCCTTCTGTCTCCTTGGATTTGCCTGTTGTGCCCATTTCCTAGAAGCGGGCTCCTACAATCTGTGGTCTTTTGTGTCAGCCCTCTGCCACGCAGCAGATTTTCTAGGTTCGTCCACATGATAGCCTGAATCAGGGCTTCCTTCCTTTTATGGCCGAATAATAGTCCGTTGTGTGAACAGACCACATTGTGTTTCTCTGTCCTTAGGTTGGCAGACGTCTGGGGTCGTTTCCATGTTGGGCTGTTGTGAATTATGCTACTGGGACCATGTATGTCCAGGTATTTGTGTGGCAATATCTTATCGCTTCTCTTGGGCATATACCCAGGAGTGGAACCACTGGAGCGTAGGGTGACTCTGCTTAACCGTTTGAAGAACCACCAGTTTTCCAGAGTGCTATGCCATTGTGCCTTCCCACCAGCCATCCCACGATTTGCCTGTGTCTAGATGTAGGAAAATTGCCCCTGGAGGATGTTCAAGGCTCCCAGCCCTGGCAGGCAGACCTCTAGACCCCTGGGTGCCTGGTGTTTGAGGGTATCCAGGATTTGCTGGATACCGTGCCGGTGTGCATATGACTGCCAGGAGAGGAAAAGTTTGTACTCACAGTCCCCTCGGAGGGGGAGGCAGGGCACACCACGGAGGGCCACAGGGGGAGGCCCTGGGGTCAGTCAGGAGCCAGAGGGCATGATGGGAAAACGTGGGCAAGAGCCTTTGCTGTGGTTTCTGTGGCAAGGAACGGGTGGGGCAGAGTAAACAGGCTTAGGACTGGCTAGTTTGAAAAATCTCAGTGGGCTCTGGGGCGTAGGGGCTGTCCCCAGCACCTGCCCCCGGGGGTGGTCAGGGCAAGGGACAGTGGCCCTGAGTGCAAGAGCCCCACAGAGGAGGGGTTCGGAGTGTGGGCTCTGGATTGGTGGGTTTGCATGTGAAAGGCGCTCTTGCAAGTGAGTCCTTCCTGAGCTCTAGGAATCCGCCAGCCCTGGGAGGGGCAGGCTTTCCTGGGTCAGCAAGGGCCCAGATGTCAGATCATCAAAAATAGAGAATAGAAAGACATGGTTGAAACAGCTGGTCTGTGCCAGAGCCACCAACTTGTGTCCTGATCAGCCAGTTACTTCTGTGGCTGCACAAGTTACAGAAAGACTCGATTAGTGGTCGTCCACCCCTTATTTAAAAAGTCTTAAGTAGTTTGAGAAGAGCAGTGGTGGCTAGACCCTCCAGGGAAAAAAACCGATTTTTCCCAGGAGGCCATACGGCTGCCAAATGAACGGCATTATGTTTACCTGTAAGAAGCCCCCCCCAGCTCGGATCCTTTTGGGGCATATGTGTGTAATAAGTCATAAAGCAATACAAAGAATATCAGTGCTCTAAAGAAATACCGTATGTATTTGAGCAAACAAGGGCGTTCTAAAACATCACGATAATTTCTCACTTGACACCTTTCTTGTATACAGTGAGTCCTCCTTTATTCGCGGATTCTGTATTTGCAAGCGTACCTACTCACTAAAATTTATCTGTGACCCCAAATCCACATCTGTGGGGCCTTCACGGTCCTGTGCGGGCATGTGCAGTGAAAAATATGAGTCACCTGACATGCATGTTGCCAACTGAGGCCAGACGAGGTCACACCCTGCCTTCTTGTCCCAGCTCGTACTGTAGACAAGTGTCCTGTTTGCAGTGTGGTTGATGCCATGTTCTTCACATTTTTGTGCTCCCCGTGGGTGATTGGGCTGCTTGAAATGGCCCCCAAGCATTGTGCTGAAGGGCCATCTGGCATTACTAAGTGCAAGAAGGCTGTGAAGCCTCGGACAGAGAAATCTAACACGTATCCACGTGTTAGATACGCTCCATTCAGGCCTGTGTTGTAGTCCTAGTGACCATGAGTTCAATGGTAATAGATCAGTAGTGTATATTAAATAAGGTGTCTTTCAAGAGAAACACACATAAAACAAGGGTACGTATGAATGGGTTGATGGAAGTGTAGGCAGAAGCTCCCAGGAGCACAGCTTTGGGTCTCCACTAGGAGCAGTGATTCGGCACTGGCTAATTTCAGTATCCACTGCAACTTTACAGAACATCGTGACAGTGAATACTGAGAATCAGCTGCAGCTTTTCATTTTGAAATTGTTTAAGATTCACAAGAAGTTGGGAGGCCCCGACTGGGGGTGGCTCAGTCAGTGAAGCAACCGTCTGCCTTCGGCTCAGGTCATGATCCAGGGTCCCTGGGATCGAGCCCCGCATCAGGCTCCCTGCTCCGAGGGGGAGCCTGCTTCTCCCTCTCCCTCTGCCTGCCGCGCCCCCACTTGTGCTCTCTCTCTCAAATAAATAAATAAGATCTTAAAAAACAAAAAACAAAAAACTCTCAGAATGTTGAATCCCACTCCCCAGAAAAGCTCTTGAGAGAAGTACATTCATTTTCCTCTAGTGCTGGTTCCTTACCGCCCCTCCAAAGGTGATGGTCTGCATGCTGCTGAGAACCACAGTCCCCACTACTTTACCTGTGTGACAGAAACCCATGGGTGGGTGCACTGGGGACCCAGGAGCCAGGTCGGAAAGGCTGGTGGACAGATGTCATCCTAACGCTGCTGGTTATCCTTGCCTGGAGGAGCGCTTTCGAGTGTGGTTTTCACCCTGAGAATGAGCGAGCCAAGCACCCTGTCCCAACCAGACTCAATTTGTCAAATCGGAGAGGGTGACCGTTGGGCTTTCTGAGTTTCATCTTTCCATCAGAGGGAAAGGTGATCAGAGCATACACATGTCCTACTGTCTCAGTTCCTACCTTAATGAGCGGAGGAGTGTGAAGAACCCTTTGGAGCCCCCGATGTGTGTTAGGTTGGCTTACAACCCTTGTATAAAATACGATCAGCCCCTCTTGTCCACTGTGGTGCTCAGATTTAATTAGTGTATTTAGGATCGGGGGCATTTGTGGCCGTACATCATGCCCTGTGGTCTCTGGGTCTCAGAGTCATCCTAATATCTGATCTCACGTTAATTACAGTCGTGTGTGTGTGTGTGTGTGTGTGTGTGTGTGTGTGTGTCTGGTGTCGGCATGAGCCACACCAAGCGCAGAGCTCCCTATTTAGTGATCTTAGATTATTTACAGTGAATCTAAACTTCTGCTTTCTTACCCCCTGCCGAGATGGACGGGGTGTCGGGATTTTTTTTTGTTGTTATTTTACCAAAGAAGAAGATACTGTGTGATTTCCAACTAAATGGTCACAGTGGGGACCAATTTCCTGCCCTCCAGACCCACTGTCTCAGCCAATACAGTAGGAGAAGACGCAGCTTTACATTTCTAGAAGGATCACATGGAGGTATAAAAACGGCACAGCCCTGCCTCACACCGCGCTGGGTCTCAGAGCCGCGATCGTGAACATGGGGAACACGCATTCCAAAAGCAATGACAGAGACGGCACACTCCCCGGCCGCCCTGAGCTGTCTTTCTGCAGCTCTTTTCCTCGGAAATGGAGCGAGAATGTCTTTCTAGATAACGAGCTGCTGACCTCCAAGATCCTGTCCGTGCTGCGGCCACAGTCAGAACGGGGCTTTCGGACCGGCCACCTCCGCTACCCTGCCCACTTTCTCAGCACCAATTCTGTGTTTGCCTCTGTCGCAGCGTCCCTGAAGGAGCACCCGAGGGCCACCCTCTTGTCTGATGGCAGCCCGGCCCTGTCCAGGAATGTCGGCATGATGGTCTCACAGAAGGGGGGGCCGCAGCCAGCACCCAGCCCAGTGGGAACGGGGACACAGCTTGGGTAAGTGGGGTCCTGGCTCTACGCCAGGTGCCCGTGGAGGGAGGGAGGAGCAGGATGTGGCATTCCACTGGGACCCCGCAGCCGGGCTCTCCGAAGGGAGACCCCCAGGTCCGTGTGAACCTGCTCATTGGCCCCCAGCCACGCTGTGAAATTCCTATTAACACTTGCTTCGGAGATTCGATCCTCTTCTTCATTGAAACCCTGTGTGTTCTGGGCGTACTTGGCCATTGGGAGCCAGTTTGTTTCATACTCTCGAAGGGCCCTTGGACAGGGTTCCTGTCTGTGCTGGAGATGATGCTAGAAGTCCCACTGAGGTTGCCATGGAGGTAGCATCCCGTTATTTATGCGTTACCCTTGTCCTGTAAGGACTTGGAGGTAGTTCCCTTAATCCTCTACTCAGCAGTGTTCAGGTGGAAACCCTAACGCTAACGAATGTCCTTGTGGTGGTCCTTGTACGGGTTGGTGGGGAAAGGGGCTGATTATCTTCTTCCACTAAGAAAGGGCTCTCCCTCCACCCTCGACTAAGTGTGGCTGTGTCCACCCAACGCTTGCTAGAAAGTAGTCCAGGGGCTCCGGCGGGCTCTGGTGGCCGTGAAAGGAAGCATACGATTTAACGCACCCTTAGAACGTGCCTGGACGTTGGATTGAAGTTAGTTACGATGGAGGAAGTCCTGATGTGATGTGGACGGGTAGTCTCCTAATTTTTACAAATGATCTGTGACAGAGTTTATATTAAAATCCAGAAAGTTCTCAGATAGACTTGCCCTCCTAGAATGTGTGTGTCTGTGTGTGTTTAACTAAGTTTTTTGGAATAATTGTTTTTATGATTCTTATTTAGACCAGTCACAGGAGAGATGGACGAAGCCGACTCTGTATTTTTAAAATCTAAGCAGGCAGCTGATGACTCTCTCTCGCTTACGTCTTCGAATGCCGAGCCCATTTTTGTAGAAGGTACAGTCCCCTCGATTCTTTCACGGATGTCCCTCGGTCTCCACCCACACTGGGAAGGGCTGGGACCCACGTCCGTGTGTCCATGGGACGCTGGCTGGGGCGGCCCAGAGCCAGCAAGGCTCCGGCCCCGAGCCGCGACTTCTCACTCCCCCCTCAGACCCCTGCACAGCCTTGCTGAGGAGTGAGATCGAGATGGACGCCCGCGATTTTGAGGCTGAGTCCTGGAGCCTTTCCGTGGACGCGGCATACTCAAAGAAACAAAAGAAAGAGGTGGTGAAGAGGCAGGATGTGCTCTATGGTAAGAAGTTCTGTGCCGTCACACTGACCTTCCACTTGCTTCTTTTCTGCCTTTGTTCTCATGGGTTGCACCTAGGAGGCTGGGCTCCACTGAGACCTCAGGCTCCCCGCTGGGGCTATGGGGCCCACTCCACCTGCTCGCCGGGGCAGCCCTGCCTTCCCAGTGAGGGAAGAGGTGGCCTGGGAGGGCTTTGTGAGAACCCGTCCCTGAGGACGAGTGTGGCCGAACGCCCAGTCCTGACTCATCCTGACCCTGCTGGTGACCCGAGAGAGAAGACTGTCCTGGGCCCATCCCAGCCATCCGTGGTGACCACAGACCGGCCTGGGGTGGCTGTGACTAGGGGGCTTGGGGGACATACGACAAAGCACTGGCTCCAGGGTGGACGCCCTGGCCGTGGGCAGCCATTCTCCTCAGATGGGAGGTTACAGGTCATTGTGCAAACCATAGCTTTCAGACACAGAGCCCATCCCCGGGCCGGGTGCCGTGTTGCAGGCCCCATGTATGTCCCTCCAGGCCTCTGGACCCCCGTAAGCAGGATGACAAAGGCCCAAGACACCCTCCCTGGAGTCTGAGGCCTTTCTCTCCCGAAAGCCCTTACTTGTTCTTATGATTCTCTCTCCGTGGGAATCATTCCCCAAGACTGACAGTGTTGTGTCGCCCAAGGAGATATTTTCTGTCCCTCATCAGTGCTCCGTGAGAAGGTTCTGGCATATCAGTGTCTTCACTTTCTACTGGGGTCCACTGACCCCTGCGTCCCTCCACGTTTCACACCCTGAGCTTTCTGCCCAGGCTGGAGTAGATTGGGGTGTGGGCAGGAGGAGAACCCTATGGATGCTTCGCCTCAGGGCTCCAGACCCAGGGCAGAGATCCTACAGGGAGGGACGGAGACAACCGGGCTGGATGCTTTCATCCGGGCAGCCCTTTGCCAGGTTGTCTCACACTCTGGGCGAACACAGGCCGTGTCCGGCCCCCACGGCTGGCGGCCCCAGGCCAGGCTCTGCTGACCTGTGTCTGATCTCTAGCCGCTTCCAGGCCTTGATTTGAACAACAGCTAAACTCCAACACAAAACCTGATCTGTCTTTGCCTTTTACCAGATAATTAAATTCTTTGCTTGAACTCTGCTTTTTCATTGGTTATAGTCCAGGTCTGGTCACTGGCCTGCACAGGTGTGTGAGTTTCACATCCCAAGGAGTGGCGTTCACCAGAACAATCTTCCTGCTTAAAACAGCCTCGAAATGTCTTCAGGCCTGAAATCCTCTTGTGAATGGGAGGGTCCCAGGACACATCCTGAGTCCTCTCTTTCCTGACGTCACTCCGGCCCTTGCTGCTCCCTTACACTGGGGCCTCTGCGGCACTGGGCCCCGGGGGATGGGAGGCCCGCCCCCCCCAGGCAGTAAGACCACCAGGGGAAGGGCCTCGGTGGGGAACTGGGAGAAGCCAGTCAGGCGCCCGGTGGGCAGGCGGTACGCATGCGTGCCATCATGGGCCGCAGGAGGAGCGAAGCGGGTCAGTCCTTTGGCCATGTCCCCACAGAGCTGGTGCAGACGGAGGTACACCACGTCCGGACACTCAAGATCATGCTGAAGGTCTACTCCAGGGCCCTGCAGGATGAGCTTCAGTTCAGCAGTAAGGCCATCGGCCGCCTCTTCCCGTGTGTGGATGAGCTGCTCGACATGCACAGCCACTTCCTCTCTCGGCTGAAGGAGCGCCGCCAGGAGTCCCTGGAGGAGGGCAGTGACCGCAATTACATCATCCAGAAAATCGGGGACCTCTTGGTACAGCAGGTGGGCATGCCGGGACGGGCACAGAGCCTGGGTGAGCCCCTGCCTCGTCTCTGTTCCATGCAGTGGTGAAAAGAACATGGCCCCTGTTTATTGAGAGCCTACAGCAGACAGCGGTCCTGGGCCTTTTCAGAAACACAGAGGCCTAAGTGCCGAATGCACCCGTGCAGACACTGTCCACCGTCGCGTTCTGGGCTTTTCTTTGGTTGCTCGGCTAGGCTCTTTGTTTTTGTTTTTCTGGTTTGACCTCCGTGTTTTTGGCTGTTAGAAGCAGGCCTGTGGTAAAGGGTGCCAACCCTGAATTGACTTCTGAGTCGACTTCCGAGCCTAGGCCAAGGTTGACAGAGAGGGCCCAGAACTCCTTGTCGGACCTCAGAGTGTTCCAGGCATCCAGAGTCAGCTCATTAGAGTTAATTAAAAGAATGCCCCGTTTGCCTTTTTTTTTTTAAGATTTTATTTATTTATTTGAGCGAGAGAGAGAGCGCACTACCGGGGAGGGGCAGAGGGAGAAGCAGACTCCCCGCTGAGCAATGAGCCCGATGCGGGGCTCGATCCTAGGACCTGGGATCATGACCTGAGCCTAAGGCAGACGCTTCACCAACTGAGCCACCCAGGGGCCCAGCTTTTAAATGTTTCTGACATTCTTCAGCATAAATGTTCTCGTCCTTCTTGGACTGCAGGAAGTTTTACAGCTAAAGCCCATTAGAACGTTTTCTCCTCTTGCCTTATTGTACCTTGTGACGAGACCCCCCTCCCCCTCCACTCACCCAGAACTGAAGCATTCCCCTGCCTGAGTGCTTGTCAGATAAGAAAATGGAGGCACAAGTTTATTTGAGATGTATTTTAGCAGAGTCAGCTGAGCCAGACGAGCGCACTCCCTGGCGGTTCTCCTGTTCCTTTCCACTAACACCCGGTTGTCTTTCTGTAGTTCTCCGGCGAAAATGGGGACAGAATGAAAGAGAAATACGGTGTCTTTTGTAGTGGCCACAATGAGGCCGTCAGTCATTACAAGTTGCTGCTCCAGCAAAACAAGAAATTTCAAAGCCTGATCAAGGTAAAAAAAAAAAAAAAAAAAATTCTTAATTAAAAAATGTATCCTCTTTGCTGGAGGTTGTTTTCCACAGGACTATAGACTCTGGGAGAGTTTAAGATTATAAGGTACCTGTTATAAACCAGCGATTTTCAAGTTTTTGTTTCCTTCTTCCACCACAAACTTGTTCAGAACACATCCGGGAGGTCCAGATGTAGAACAAAGCAAAACACACCTTCGTTTGCGGCCGCACCAGCAGGCCCTAGCATGGAACCTGCTGGCCCTCATTCCTCAGACTGCCAAGGGGACACAAGTGTTGTTTCAAGGGGCCACCTGCCCTGGGATCTGCCCCTCCCTCGCCTCTTTCCCACTCTGTTCCCCACTTGGCCCCCCACCCCATCCTCCCAGGTCTGCGAAATAACCCACACCTGCCTTCTGCCTAACAGTGTGCAGGTGCTCAAAGCCCAGACCCAAAAACGCAGCATCCAGCCTGAGTCCACCAGGTTGGGCAAGGCCCTGCCTCCAGCATCCTTGAAAGCATACCTGGGTCAAGGCCACTTGGCTGTCGGCATGCATCCTGAAGCCACTCCGTCACCTGCTGCTTGGTCCCCAGGGACTTTAATTTGAAGTGATAGCCAATAACTAACAGTTTAGAGTTAAGAAGGACAGGTTTTCAAATTCTGCTCCCTTACCATTGCAGTGGATAGACATAAAAGGGAGAGGGTCGGTCTGGGGTTGGCCCTGGAAGCTTGCAAACTCCGCAGTACTCTTCTGGTCCTGCTCAGAAGTGGCTCTCACAGTTGTTGGCATTCCTGGAGTGTGTGAGTGCAGGGGGAGCAGGGAAGCGGAATGTGTGGAATGCTCTGGAGGGTACTGGAAGCCGCTCTCCGCCCTGCTGAGAGATGGCTTTGGATGACGGCCTTCTGGGTCCTCAGCCAGAGGTGTGCATCGGGAGCCAGCAGGGGGCTGACCCGGGACAGGCTTGTTCCAGAGGGTTCTGACAGCCGTCAGTCAAGGTCTTCGTGTGTGGATATGCGTGTGTGTGGGTGTGTGCACGCGCCCACGTTACACAGCTCTCAGGTGATTCCCTCCCACCTCCCTGGCTGGTTCTGGTTTCTTAACAGGTTTTACGGCAGGTGGCGGGGGGCGGGGGGATGCGGCTGCCTTTACTTCTGTGGCCTTTCTACATACAGCAGGCAAGGCCCTACTTCCACTGAATGCTTGAAAAGGTCCTGCTGAGCTGAGAAAGGGAGAAGGCTCTAGCCGAGTTGGCACAAGCTAAGATGCCAACAGGGCATTTTGTTTTCCATATCCTAGAAAATTGGCAACTTCTCCATCGTGAGGCGGCTTGGCGTGCAGGAGTGTATCCTTCTGGTCACTCAGCGCATAACCAAGTACCCCGTGCTGGTGGAGCGCATTATTCAGAACACAGAAGGTAAAGTAGCTTTCCTCGCTGCCTTGCCCATCGGTTGCTGCTTTGAGGGGCGATCTCTGTCTTTCTGCCCCATTTTGCCAGTGGATTGGATAAGTGCCTCTCTCTGCTTCGTCCCTGGTTGTCTGAATTCATGCTAAGTGCTGGGGTCTCCGACCCAAGAAAGATGGGGTGCCAGGTCTTATTTGCCCACTATTACCTCGCAGGCAGGACCGAAGAAGGCCCTGGGTCATTATCGGGCGAGTAGATTAATGTTGATCCAAACACAGAGATGGCCTTTGTGTCGCATGCCTGGAACCTGGAGGGTGGAGGAAACAGGGCATACAGCCCAGCCTAGAGTTCTCAGAGGCCAGGGCCTGACCACACCTGACCGTACCTCTGCCACCTCCAGGAGATTCAGGCCCTGGGAGGAGGAGGGAGTGTTTTATGGAGAGCAGGGCTGTGCAGGACTCTCATTGCGTTCAGTGGAAGCTCTGTCTTGGCAAAAACCAAAGGCCAGGTTGCCACATTTCATTTGGAGAAGCATTTACATCTCCAGAGATCTGAGTTGGGAGGTGGATTCTTGAGGGCCCTCTGCGCAGTGGCTTCAGGGAACAGCCCTCCTAGGCCCCGGCGCGTGTCGCCTTGCGCCGGGTTGGTGGAAGGGGCGAAGGAAAGCGCTAAGTCTGCTGTGTGTGGCAGCCGGCACCGAGGACTACAGAGACCTGACCCAGGCCCTGAACCTCATCAAGGACATCATCTCCCAAGTGGACGCCAAGGTCAGCGAGTCCGAGAAGGGCCAGCGCCTCCGGGAGATCGCGGGGAAGATGGACTTAAAGTCCTCCAGCAAGCTCAAGAACGGGCTGACCTTCCGCAAAGAGGACATGCTGCAGCGGCGACTCCACCTGGAGGGCACGCTGTGCTGGAAGACCACGTCGGGGCGCCTGAAAGGTAAAGGCCTGTCCCTCGCCTCTGCTGTGGGGGGGCCCTCCTGGATCAGCGGCACCATTCTGCATGAGCGGGTGCCGGCCTGGCTGCGCCGGGGCCGAAGCGGGGTTGCACGCCGAGTCAGAATGAGACAGGCAGGCAGGAGTGTTGGAAAAATGAGACAGCACCCTCTTTCTCGGGCTTTGAGGTGCTGTGGCACCCACCAGGAGGGCCACTAGATCACACTGATCCCTTGACTCCTGAGCAGAAACCCCAGGCATCAGGACACCCCAGGTTTGTCAGAGGCCCCGGGATGCCAAACAAGCAGCTGCTGAAGGGCCCCCGTGTGGGTAGACGCACCACCCGGCCCGCTGACCTCAGTGTCCCCAAACATCCCACTCACTGCTCGGGGTGTCCCTTCGAGCCCCACCTCCAAAATCCAGTGTACTTCCAGACCAGAGAGCACTCAGGACTCAACCCTGAGTTTCCTGGATCATTTCATGAGCTTCTGGAAACATCCTCACCTGTCCGTTAACATCAGCATCTTTTTTTTTTAATAATTTTTTTAAAAGATTTTATTTATTTATTTGAGAGAGAGAGACAGAGGGGGTGAGAGCGCACAAGTGGGGTGAGGGCAGAGGGAGAAGCAGACTCCCCGCTGAGCAAGGGAGCCTGATGCAGGAATTGAACCCAGGACCCTGGGATCATGACCCGAGCTGAAGGCAGACGCTGCACTGACTGAGCCACCCAGGCGCCCCAACATCCACATCTTTAAAGCTCTTTAGGGGAGTGCTGGAGATGGCCAATGACCAAATATGTTTGTCCGGAATTTGCACAGGCGAGCAGCTAGCGGACAATTTAGCGCCTCCTGTGTGCTGGCCCCCGAGGTGGGTGGTAAGAGGCCCCTGTCCTCAGGGGGCTTTAGTCAGTGCCCCAAAAGGGAGAAATAAGGAAACAAACAGAAACTAGTGAAAAGTGCAGTAAATGCTTCAGAGGAAGCCAGCGGGCCACAGTCGAGAGGATTCCGCAGGGAGAGGCCGTCTGCCCTGGAGAGGGCGGTGCTCACGCTTCCCGAGACGCAGAGGGACGTTCAGTTTGGGATTTGCACCTGTGTGCCAAAGCTCTGCCGCGAGGTTCCTGCAGGGACAAGGCACCGAGGCTGCTGTTACCAGGGATCTTGCGGCGCGAGGGGCCTGAGGCTGGCTGCGGGCGACCAGAGGCTCGGGGGGCAGCCGACCTGGGAGTGGGAGGAACGGAGGGGCAATTCACATTTGAGAAATCAGCAGAATCTCAAAGAGCAGACTTGCAGGTGCCACGACAGCGGGGATGGGACGGCAGGTGCCAAGGCTGGGCAGCAGCCCAGGAACCTGCAAGAGGGGACTCCAGCCTCTGGCTTGTGTTAAATGTTGAAACCCAGGAGGTGATAGAAAATAGTGAGGTGGGGGCGCCTGGGTGGCTCAGTTGAGCAACTGCCTTCAGCTCAGGTCATGATCCTGGAGTCCCGGGATCGAGTCCCGCATCGGGCTCCCTGCTCAGTGGGGGGTCTGCTTCTCCCTCTGACCCTCTTCCCTCTCGCGCTCTCTCTCATTCTCTCTCTCTCGAATAAAAAAAAAAAGTGAGGTGGACAGAAACCCTCAGGCTCCCACAGGAGCCTCCCAGCACCGCGCTGGGTGACCAGGACCCCTCCCCCGGGGCCGAAGCCTCCCCGGGACGCATCCGTGTCTGCCTGGCAGGACCCGTGTGTCCCTGCGACCTCCTGAGACATTTCCTTCTGTGCTTTCTCCTTAGATGTCCTTGCTGTCCTGCTGACTGATGTGCTCTTGCTGCTACAAGAAAAGGATCAAAAATATGTCTTTGCCTCTGTGGTAGGTGTCCTGTCTCTTCAGACGAAGGGTCCTGCCTGCCTTAGGGACCCTTAGGGGCTTGCTGCCCAGGGCCCAGAAGGTTCCAGCAGGGCAGGAGTCAAATTTTCCGAGACCCGGGGGTCCTGTCTGGTTGCCTGGGGAGGCTTCAGGGGCTCGTGCTAACATCCTGTCCAGTCTCAGCCTTTACGTTTCTGTGGCTCTCCCTCTCTCGGGGCTCAGGGTCTCGGGGGCTCCAGCTAACTCCCTGTCCTGCCTCCTCTCCTGAGTAGGACACCAGTCATACTGGACTGGGCCCACCCTAATGACTTCATTTTGCCTTAATCACCTCTGTGAAGGCCCCATCTCTAAATAATCACAAAAGGGTCTTTTCCCCCCTAGATGGCAAATTGCTCTGAATTATTGGAGAACAAAGGGGGCACACGTGTCCCCCACCACCCCCTTCCCCTCAGACTCTCAGTTCCACAGCTGCTCAGATGCATCAGGGTGAAACGGGTCCTCCCCCACCTCGCCTTCCACCCACACAGGACTCGAAGCGCCCGGTCATCTCGTTACAAAAGCTCATTGTGAGGGAGGTGGCCAACGAGGAGAAAGCCATGTTTCTGATCAGCGCCTCCCTGCAAGGGCCCGAGATGTACGAGATCTATACCAGCTCCAAAGAGGAGAGGAACACTTGGATGGCCCACATCAGAAGGGCCGTCGAGAGGTGAGAAGGGCCCGTGTGGACATTCCCTCCCCCCAGCTGTTTTGCTCTTGGCTTTGACAGTGGGCAAAGCAGCTGTGACCTTGAAGTACCCAAGAGAGTGCTGGAGGTCACAGGTAGGCAGGAGACCCCTCTGCTGTTCCTCTCCCTCATTCCGCCTTGGTGCCTTGTCCATCCCCCTCAGCTAAAGGGGACACGTGGCCTCATTCCGGCTCCTTCCGGCAACAGCTCAGCCCTGTCAGATGCTAAAAAGGCCCAGATGTTGCTAGCCAGTGGGTGTGGGGCCAGGCTGTCCTACGCTTCTGTACTGGTGGGGTACAGTGAGTGACACCTGACCCGGGGGCCGGACCTGTTGGAGGAGGTGGTGGCGTCCTGTCCTCCTTCCTCAGGCCACGGGAGCCCTGGGGACCCCAGCCAGCCTGATGCTCCCTCCCTGCTCCTCCCTCTACCAGCCTGCCTGGTAGCTTCCTGAACCTGCTCGGAGCTCCCTCGATACTCAGTCCTGCAGGTCCCTAGGAAATGAGCTGTCCTCAGTCTCCTCCCCCCCATGGTGGCCAGGCATGGAACCTACGGCTGGTGACGTGTGGACACTTGAAGACAGGGAAATGCCCATGGCTGCCTTCCTCTTCCCCCTCATGTTTCTCCCGTGCCATTAACAAGCTCAGTCGCCCACAGGACGAGACGCTCTGAGAAGCTGCTTCTGCCAACAAAGCTCTCAGTGCCCATCGCCGAGGCCACCTGCCCGTGAAGGGTTGTTGCCCACCTGCCCCCTCTCCCTGCAGCTGTCCGGACGAGGAGGAGGGGCCCTTTAGCGAGGCCGAAGAGGAGAAGAAGGTGTTCGAGGCCCGCGCCCTGAGGCTGAGGGACTTCCAAGGTAAGGGGAGTCCGTTTGGACCTCCGTGCCCACAGCATGTCCCCCGTATGGTGAGAAGGCCCTGGGAGACCGCCAGCGACATTTCTGTCCTGTCCCATCGGGGTTGGCCACAGAGCAAGGCTCCACCCGAGCACCAGGCATTTTGCTGTAGGCCGTGTCACGTCCTGCAGCCCTGCGGAGCCTTTGCCGTTAGGCTTTGTCATGAGATAGCGCGCTTGGGGCCCCTGAGCCATTTCCAGACACTCTGGCTTTGCCACGCACCCTGCCCCCTCCCTCGGTCCCTGTGCAGGAAGGAGCTCGCCGTAGGTGTCCAAGGTCACAAACGTAAAAACCCCAAGGGGACTTGGAATAGCACAGAACCCCACAGTCTCCCTCCAGAGCCTGGCGGACCCAGACCAGCCCTGGCTTTTTGGCTGCGGACCTCAGCTTCCTCCTCCCTGTTTTAATGTTTTTTAACTACTTTATTTAGCTGTAATTCGGACACGATACAATTCAGCCATGTAAAGTGCACCATTCGGTGGCTTGTAGTCTGTATCACAAGATTGTGCAACTTGTCGCAATTTTAGATCACTTTCATCACTACAGAAAGAAACCTCATCTCCGTTAGCTGTCACTCCCTGTTCCTTCCTCCCTCAGCCCCTCGTAACCTCTGTTCTAGTTTTAGTTTCTATGAATTTGCCTGTTCTAGGGATCTTGTATAAATGGAGTCTTGCAGTGTTTCTCCTCTTGTGTCTGGCTGATTTCACCGAGCCGGATGGTTCAAGGTTCAGCCACATTGTAGTGTGTGTGGATTTCCTCCCCTTTTAAGGCCAAATACTGTTCCATTGTAAGATGTACCCCCTGGGCTTATCCATAAGTTCCCCTCCCCGGTTTAAGAGATGCCTGTGAGAATCCAGTGAGGTCACTGGCAAGAACAATCCTGGGGACTCTGTGGACTCAGTTAGCTTCCCTCTTTCCCCTCACTAACCGAGTCATTTATTTTTCAATTAGGGAGCATTTAGGCCATAAGGACATAAAATTAGGTAGTATATATTTTATTTCTCTTTGTGGGGAGAGGTGTATGTTTGAGGTTATTCATTAATAGAAATGTCCAAAAGAAAGGGGGTGGGAGGGACCTCCCACGGACCCCGGAAGCACAATGCTAATGCAGTGTTCATTCAGACTCTTTATTTCTGCCCGGTGGTAATAAAACGCATGCCCTGCATAGTTATGTCTCCGAGGGTACAACAGTATCTATTCCTCACTCATTCCTCACAGGATTCTTACTGTTAGAAATGGATACTTTCTCTATGGAGATAGTCTTTCCCATCTTGGATGAAAAGCTGGTCTCATCTTTCACATTGGACCATCAGGGACGCTCACCAAAATCCGGAGCCAGGCCAGGCCTGCCCCTCCCGCCATATTCCCTGCACCCTGCAAGTTCCTGCAGGGTGACAACGGGAGAAACGGGAGTAAGACCGTGTCTGGAAGGGAAGGGACAGAATTGTGTTTTGCATGTGACATGATTATTTGCCTAAAAAATCTAGTAGAATCAACTAGAAAACTATTGTAACCGGTGAGGGCGCCCAGTAGTCCTGCCGAACGTGATGTGTATGCTTGGGCAGCCACCAGGGAGAAAGTTGCTGTCGTAGCAGCAACAACAAAAAGCATAAAACCCAGAGACCTGTAAGGAGTGTGGCCTAAATACCTGAAGGAAGAGTCTCAGGAGAAGAAAACGAAGTCTTGTACGAGTCTCGCTTAGGCCCAGACTAATCAGTCGGCCTGCTCTGGTCCTCGCGCATACCCCATGGTGTTTGGGTTTTATCATCGGGGTGAACTATCAGAAGACAGGGCCGTGCCCTCACCTGCCCCGCAGGATGTTGGACTCAGGGTGGGCTGCGGGTGGGAGCCGGGTCCCCGGGGAAGATGACCCCGGAAGGCCAAGCCCTGTCTCCTGTGGCTTTGCAGAGCGATTGAACGTGAAAGACCAGCAGATTGCACAGAGCCTTGGCGAGAAGCAGCAGATCTACCTGGAGATGGCGGAGATGAGCGGGCTCGAAGACGTCCCTCAGTCGCGACTCCTCTTCCGAGGAGGGGAGCCCTCCGAGACCCTGCAGGGGGAGCTGATCCTCAAGTCGGCCATGAGTGAGAGTAAGGAGCCACGCCCGGGGGCCCTCGCTGGGCGCTGGCCCACTGCTGCCCCGCAGTTCCGCTGGTGGGGGGTCCTCGGCTGGCGGGGCGGGGCGGTCCCTCCTCCTGGGAGCAGCACTGACACCCCCACCCCCGGCATCGGCTAGAGCCAGAAGGTCCTTCAACACCCCCAGCAGACTTACAGCACCTTCTCCCTGTCAACCCGCTACATGCGAGGCAGCACCACGCTAGGCCCCGGGGATCTGAAGTCAACCAGGACGGATTCCCCACACTCAGGAGGTTCTCCTTTCTGAGAAGTGGGACCCCGATGATGTCCCCAGAAACAGGCGCACATCCACACGTGCTGGGTCACTTCAGACAGCTCCTAGACCCAGCAGGCCTCCCCGGGCGGGCTGCCCCCACCTCTAGGCAGAAAGAGGCTTCTGAGCGCAGTGGCCACGGGAGGGCGCTGGCTGGTGTGCGGCCTGCCCCCTCCACGTGTGGCAGGCCGGGCAGCCCATGCTCGTCGGGTCCAGCAGGACAGTTGGCCCCGCTTTCAGTGGCAAATGGGAGAGACAGCTGCTGTCCTCCAGACCTTTCCTTCAGAGTGAGGGGAACAGAGGCCAGAGGGGCCCCTTGTGGACTCTGCGTCTGCTCAGTCTTGTTTCCTCCAGCCACACCGACCTTCTGCTTCCTCGCATTTCTCCGGCGGCCACTGTTCTTGGCCCCTGAGGAACCCCTCATACCCTGTGCCTCGGCCTGGAATGTTCTTCTCCCCACCTCCTCACTTGGCCAAAGCCTGTTTGTCCTAGAGCGTTTTGTGTGACCTGCCCTGCCCCCAGAGACCTCGTCTGTATGACGGCCGACACACAAGCACACGCCCGCGTTGGTCATGAGGCCCAGGGCATCCCCATCCGCTCCCACATGCTGCCCCCGTGGTCCACCGTCTCCTGTAGACACGGGTTGGCATGTCCTGGTTGTAGTACCTGAAGTTAGGGAACGCACGGGTCAGGGGACTGAAGTCCCATGTCGGGGGATTCGAAGTCCATGACCGACGCCCTGCAGGCTTCTCAGGCCTGAGTGCCCCAGGCCCTGCCACGCTCGGACACCCACAGCATGGCTCCACAGCATGACTCGGTGCCTTCCACCTCCTTCCACAGTCGAGGACATCCAGACCCTGATCTGCAGGCAGCTGGGCAGCGCCAACGGCCAGGCGGAAGATGGGGGAGGTTCCGCGGGCCTGCCCCGCAGGGCAGAGACCTTCGGGGGCTACGACACTGTGAGCAGTCCCGGCAAGAGTGAGTGGTGCCGCGTTCACCTGGGGCTTCTCGGGGCCCCTCCGGAAGATCAGCAGCAGCAAGAGGTTGTGTGGGTTCTTGGACCGTTCCCAGCAGCAGAGTCAAGGCATTTGTTGCTGGGCATCTCTGGGGCTGCTTCCCCCGCAACGAGTATGAACTCTCTAGTCAGGTTCTGGAACCTTCAGGGTGTCGTCAGTTGTGCTCCGACAGCAGCACCCAGGCAGCCCTTCCCTCTCTTGCCGGTCTCTGCGTCTCAGATACCACCGTGGCAGCCTGGCCACAATTTCCTACCTGGGTCTGGGGGGCGGGGGCCTGGCCCGGACCCCTGTGGGACCTGCAGCGTCCTCATGCGCCTGGATTGGGCTTTTCAGATGGCAGTTTGAAGAATGCCTACAGCAGCGACCCCGGCCCCCAAGACTGGCAAGGCCCGGTGAGCAGCCCAGACTCGAAGCCCAGCAACACGCCGGGGGCCTCTGAGGACACCCCACCCACAGTACGTTGCTTCCTTGGGATATTCTTGAGCTAAGCACAGAGTCCGCCCAAGCCCTTTAAACTAGCGTTCACATGTGTGAACGGTTCTGTCTGGGGTTGTCTAGTTTTGCCGTCTCAGGACGCGTAGTGACCAGTACCAGTCCCGTTGTACCGGGAAATCTCAGCCCAGGTGAACCTACGGGCCGGCGAACCTCCATGTTCCCTCCCGCACCTCCTGGGAATGGTACGAGGTGTCCAGGAGGGGGGCAAGGGAGGGGACAGGCCCAGGGCGGGAGCTGTGGCCGCATCAGCAGCCAAGGGGCGCTGCAGGGACCGTGAGCACTGAGTCTGCGCATGTGTCCTGCTGATGCGCCTGGCTGCTCCCTCCCCTTGGACTCCGGAGGCCCACCCTTACCAGGAGTCAGGGCCGGAGTGGGGTCAGGCTGCGGGTCAGGCTCCCCTCTGCCGCCCACGGGCTCCCCTGAGCCCGCTCACAAGCTTCACCCCCTGAGCTGTGGCCACCCGCGCCTGGCCCCGGAGCCTCCCCACGTGAGCCCGCAACAGCTGCTCTCCGCCTCCAGGGAGGCCGCCCTGTGCGCTCCTTTTCCAGACACCGAGACTCGGGGGGGTCTCGTTAGCAGTAGGCAGGTCCTTAGCTGTCTGTGTTTGGCCCGTTCTCTCCACAGGTGGCGGTGCCGGGGGCGGAGTCCGGCCGCCCTCTGCCCGCGGCCCTGGAGCTGGAGGTAGGCCCGGGGCTCAGCGGTCTCCCCAGGGGTGGGCATGCACACCGCAGGCGGCTTCGCGCAGCGAGCCAGCGTCTCTCTCCCTCTCCGCAGCTTGTCCAGCGGATCCAGACCCTGTCGCAGCTGCTCCTCAGCCTCCAGGTGCGGGGGGCTTCCGGGGGAGGGAGGGAGCGCGACCATGCCCGTCTCCTGCCCCTGCTTGAGGTCGGGGTCTGGGGAGAGGCGGGCCTCGTTTTAAGACCAGTTGTTTCGCCGCCGCCGCAGGCAGTCATTGCCCAGCAGGACAGCTACGTGGAGATGCAGAGGGCCTCCATCCAGGAGCGCGAGAAGCAGCTGCGGCTGCAGTCCACGCGTGGGAACCTGCTGCTGGAGCAGGAGCGCCAGCGCAACTTCGAGAAGCAGCGCGAGGAGCTGGCCGCCGTGCAGAAGCAGCAGGGCCTCCTGCGGGGGGAGCAGCAGCGCTGGGAGCGCGAGCGGGAGCGGCAGCAGCACGAGCTGGCCCTGGCCTCCGCCCGGCTGCAGCGCTGCCAGAACGAGTCGCTGCAGCTTCAGGAGCGGCTGAGCCAGGAGCGCGAGCAGCTGGAGCAGCGGCGGCGCGCCTACCAGCACGACCTGGCGCGGCTGCGGGAGGCCCAGCGCGCCGTGGAGCGGGAGCGCGAGCAGCTGGAGCAGCAGCGGCGCCTCCGCAAGCAGAACACGGCGCCCGGCGCGCTGCCGCCTGACTCGCCAGCCGAGGTGAGCGCGGGACAGGGCGCCAGGACACCGCGCGGGGGTGGGGGGGGTGCACAGAGCGGGGGTCCCGGGAGAGGGCGCGTGCGCCCCAGCGTCACGGTGGATGTGCGTGTCCAAGCACAAGCTCCCGGCTGGGAGCTTAGGTCACCCGTGGACCCAGAGGAGGACGGGCAAGTGGGAGAGGCTGGCAGGGATCGGGGGTGCACCGTGCAGATCTGAGGCCAGTGGCTTGGAGGGGCTCGTGGAGGGGGGGTGCGCCCCCCCGCCCCCGCAGGAACAGCTTCGGGATGCGTCCTCTGCTGCTTTTCCAGGCCCAGCCGCTAAGCCACACTCCCAGCTTCAACGGGGAAGGGCCGGAAGGGCCCGCCGCCCTCGCCAAAGCGCCAGGAGCCCGGGTGAGCATGCCGCTGGCCGGCCCGGGGCCCGAGTTCCCAGAGCGCCCCGAGATGGCTCGCCGGGACAGCGCCCCCGCCGAGAGCCGGCCGGCCAAGAGCGACGTGCCCATCCAGCTGCTGAGTGCCACCAACCAGATCCAGAGGCAGGCAGCTGTGCAGCAGCAGATCCCCACCAAGCTGGCTGCCTCCACCAAGGGCGCCAAGGACAAGGGCGGCAAGAGCAGGGGCTCCCAGCGCTGGGACAGCTCAGGTGAGCTGCGGGGAGGGGGGGAGGGGGCGGAGTTGGGGCGAGTGAGTGGAGCGCTGGCGGGTGCCTGCCCCGTCTCCTGTGGCCCTGGACTTGCAGGTCCAGTCGTGGGCTCTTTGTGAAACCAAAGCGGCTTCTTGTGAACAAACCAAAATGGGACCCCAGGGCCATCCTCTGGAGGGGGTAGCAGGGGGAACCTGGAGGGCACAGCTGGCAACCCTGGGCTACGTGGCAGAGGCCGGTCCCCGCCCCACATGGAGGTCTCATCCCAAGAAGGAAAATTAAAACATCAGACCCCATGTCTTTTTCCTACCTTGGCCCTCAAACGGGGATTGGGGTCGACAGAACGTCTTGGCAGTTCAGAAAGAAGAGCCTGGGTCCCTTGGGGACATCAAGGCAACCGGTGCTAATGTTCCCTAGCGAGCCCCCGCCCAGGGACAGTTCTCGTGCCCAGGTCTGTGCCGTGTCCTCATCCCACAGAGGGGGGGACACTGAGGCCCTTGCACAGAGCACCCTGCAGTGAGAGGTCTTTCCTCCGGTAGAGAAAGCCCAGGGACTCCCACGGGTGCTGCTGGCATGCAGGCTCTGGCTGAGGGGAGCCAGCCCTGGAATGTTCCCTGAGGAACAGGGCCTGTGTGCCAGGACTGCTGGGCTCCGGGGTCAGGGGTTCGCTCTCTCGTGCAGAGGCTGAGTTACTCCAAGGGCCCTCTAGTCGGGTGTCACCGTCTCTGGGGCTGAATGAGTGGGTGTGTCCCCGGCCCAAACGGGGGGGGGGGGGGGGCTGCCCACGTGCCCGGAGCGAGGCCAGACACCCCAGGCTGTGCCCTCCCTCCCTCAGCCTCCTTCGACCTGAAGCAGCAGCTGCTCCTCAGCAAGCTCGTGGGCAAGGACGAGAACAGCGCTCGGAACCGCCGCTCGCTGAGCCCGGTTCTGCTCAGCAGCCACAGCTCCGTGTCCCCCGCAGGTGAGCCCAGCCCCCCCCACCCCCACCCCAGGACAGCAGGGCCACCACGGTGCCTGCGGCTGCTGGCAGCCAACACTGTCCCTCTCTTCCAGACCCCTGCTGCCCGGCCCCGGCTGACGTCCCCACCGAGTGCTGCTCCCTCAAGCCCGGGGGCGCCCCCGTGCCCCCCTCCCCCTTGCCACTGCCCAGCACACCGGGCAGCAAGGAAGACGGCAGCAAGGAAGACGTCATCTTCTTCTAGAGGGGGTGTGGCTCGAGGTGCAGACCCCTCCCCGTCCTGCTCTCTGGGGAACAGCCCAGTCCCTTTCCTCTTCCCGAGCAAACCACCACCAACGGCTGCCTGGCTGGGGCCGGGGTCAGGGTCAGGGCCGGGGCTGGCCCGTCGCCTCAAGGCTCTTCCTGTAGGATTAGCAGTGGTGCCTGGGTAACTTTCTAAATATCTTTTTTTTTTTAACACAAAAAGGAAAGTTTTTAATCGAAGGTTGAACCAGAGCTAACCCAAGGAGCTGTGTGCAGTCGTAGCACCCCTGTTGGGGAGGGAGGGAGAGGGTAACTCCACGCCGTTTTTCCAAGGTAGTGACAGACAGTGGTGGCTCCGCAAGATGCCTGAGGACAGCCCGGACCCCAGTCGGAGAAGCAGGGGCCGGCCCTGGGGCTGGGTGGTGTCGGCAGGATCCGCTTCCAAAGCAGAGACTTGCCTGTGTTCGCGGTGGGCCTCAAGGCCAGGGTGTGACTGCAGACGGGGGAGAGGGGCGGCCACACAGCCCCGCCGGGGACAGAAGGCCACGGGGCGGGGCGTGTGGAGAGGACCAGCCGGTGGCACAGGTGACAGGAGGGGACGGGCCATAACTAACTTTAATTTGACAGAGGTCTTTAAACCCTGCTGTTGCCAAACTTGGTGCTTTCCAAAGGCACCTGAGCACGGTGGCATGCTTCTGTGGGGTTTGAGGGCGCCAGCCATTCTCCAAGCTCTCAGCCTGTCTGGGGAAGCCCAGTCGAGAGCGTTAGCCAGGGCCAGCTCGCCCCCGAGGGTCCCAGCGCCCATGAGATGGGCGGGCTTTCCTGCGGCTGCAGGGAGGAAGGCCCCAGGGCGGGTGTCCGTCACCCTCGGGCAGGGGCTGGTACAAGGAATGGAACGGTGGGGCCGCCACGTCCTGGTGGACGAGGGCGAAATGCCAGAGGGGTCACCTAGGGCCTGGAGACATCAGATGGGCAGGGGGCTCAGGTGCCTCGTGTCCAGAGAGCTGAGCTAGCCTACTGTCAGCTCCCCTGGAGGACAAGGGCCACCCATCCCGCTGCACAGCTCTAGATGCTGGGGAGCACGCTGGATGTCCAGGAGCGCTCCGGGCCTGGCCAGTGGGTCAGATGCACACTTCAGCTGTGGAGGAACTCAAGCCTGGGTGCAGGGTGGGGGAATGGGGATACTCCGGTCTTTGGTCCCTGGGCTCCGCCACTGAGCCCAGAGCCCCATCCCTCCCAAAGCGCTGGTGGGAGGACTGGGGCCCCAGCTGACCAGTTCCGAACCTCTCCCAGGCACAGTGAATGGTGTGCCGAGCCCGGCCCCTCTGAGAACCTCTGCCCGCTCCTTTCTCTCCCCCGGCCTCCACTTAGTGCTTGGGGCCTGCAGCATCTGCGCATCCTTGGGGAGCCAGGAGAAGCGTCCTCCCTCGGTCCTGTGAGGCGTCCGAGCTCATCTGTGCCATGTCTGTGGTCAGTGTTTGCGTTTTCGTACTGAGACGTCTCCAAGCACTTTAGCAGAGTTGACTTTAAGTTCCTGTCCTATTGTGAAGCGAACATCTCTGGGCCCTCGTGCTGGGTGATTCCACCGCCACACGCCCCTGTCCGCTGGCTCTGGTCTGACCCTCCGAGACGCCACGATTCCTCAGCCGGTGACAAGTCCAAGGAACCGCCACTTGGCCATGTGGCAGAGAACTGGGGCATCCCACCGCGGGGCCACACAGCAGGGCAGTATCGTCATGGGTCCATCTCTCGTCCGGGCAAGGTCACTCCTGGAGAGCCCGATTTTATTTGTACGGTTGGTGGTTGAGCAGATCCTCATTTCCATGGAACCTGTGCACGTCCTCGTTAATTGTGACCATAATCTTAGTCCAGCCGACAATTATTTTTATGATGATTGCAACATTTCCTCACCGTGGGGTCTTTCAGAACCACCTTAGAACTTAAGACCTGATTCCAGCAATAAAAGTATCGAAGATGAGCCGACGGGAGTGTTCGTTTGGGGGTTTGGGGTTTTGTTTTAGGATCCGCGGCCCAAACATCAGTGCTCTACAGGTGGCTCACATCACCGGGCAGGGCGCCCCTCACACCCATGCCCAGGGCCCCCACACACTCCCCTCAGGAAGCTCCAGACGATGACCACGTGCAGACATTCGGAGTCAGAGGCAGTGGGGATGCCTGGGGGCCCCCGGGAGAAGCAGCCCTCCAGACGAGGCTGAGGTGTGGGGATGCGGCCAAGTCCTCTCCGCTCTGGCGGGGTGCCCGTCCGTTTCGGCCTGTCCCCGTGCTCTTGGGTCGTCAGCCTCCTAGACAAGGAGGCATTGCCCCGGGTAGGGCCATCCCCAAGGCCCATCTGCCTCCCTGCTCCCCAAAGGAGCTGAGTTTGCTACAGCAGGTGCTCCCTGGGTGCTGGGAGAACGCTTTCAGGCCCTGCTCCCAGGAACTGGCTGGCTCTGCCCCCACCCAAGAGGCTGAAGTTGCCAGGCGGGGAAGAGCACCGGGCAGGGGCTGTGGCCACACTACAGGTGGGGCTTCTCGACCGCGCAGTGGTGTGTCCCAGCATAGCCCCAGCCCTGGCATTTGGCTCTGCCCAGGCCCACGGGGACACCAGCCTGCCGGGGACCTGTGACCGGACAGGTTATGTATGTGGGTGTTCCTGTGGCTTCCCCACAAACACAGTGCTCCGAGTGCCTTACAAGTATTAACTCCCTGAGTCTCCAGGCAGGTAAGCAGGTACTGCTGTGACCCCCACCCCAGTCCCCCTGGTGCCCTAAGTGCTGGGAAGGGGGCCTCTGCTAAGGGCCAAGGCGAGCACGTCCCCCCTTTTCGAGAGGGGAGGGGGAGGCTGACCTGACCCAGCCTGGCCCCCTCCCCTTGTCCAGAGGGATGGGTGGGGCAGGGTGCTCCAGCCAGGGCCAGGTGGGGGGTCTTCTGCACCCCGTGTTAACCCTGAGGGGCCCTGTATCCCAGCTTTTCCCACCACATAGCTTCCCTGTGGGACAAGAAGTGGAGGGGTGTCACATGAAGCCTCGGGGGCTGCAAACTGCCATTTTTGTTGGCTCTTCCTGGTGCTTGCGGGATGTAAGGGACAGCCTGATCCCCTCCGCTTTCCGGCTAGGACCCAGAGGTGGAGGATCCGAGGCCACGTCGAGACGGGCAGACTTGGGCTGGCCACCATCTGCAGGCGCCTGCCTGAGGCCACACACATGGGGCCTCTCACGGGTCAGTCTGAGACATCCCATCCCGCCATGATCCCCATGAGGTGGGAGACAAGCCCGGCCGCAGCCTGGAGCCCGTAAAACACTCAGACCAGCCCTGAGCCCAAGCTGTGGCGGAGTGTGAAATGCTTCGGCCACAACAAGCACCCTGGAGCTGCCCAGGGGGACGAGACACAGACGTGGCCCCTGTGCCCGAGACGGAGGTGCGGGGAGCTGCTCGCCTGGGCTGAAGCCTGCTCAGGGCTAGCACGTTCCAGAAGGCGGGCTGAGGAGGTGTGGTTTCCAGGCAGCACCTGCACCCCCTCTCAAAAGGCACAGGGCTGCCAACGCCGCCACCGCCACCGCCACCGCCAGGAAGGAACGGCGTGTGAGCAGGAAGGCCTGCAGGTGGGAGGGGCTGGGGGCCAGTGATTTAGAAATAAGCTCTCACACTGGGCCCAGCACCAACACCCTATTTAATCGATCATCATCGCGACTTTCCTAAGGCCCGCGTGGTGCACGCCATCCTGGCTCCCCCGCTCGCCTTTACTGGAAGGCAGGACACGGGCCGAGCGAGGTGCTGTGAGGCCCACAGCAGCCTTCTCTGCATGTGAGGCCTGGCGACCCCTACTCTGGCCCTGAGAGAAGCCCCCCCCACGGAGCCCCGGCCTAGTTGGAAAGGTCCTGGCTCTTGGCCCCCGGGGGGCCTCACCCCTGCCCACATCCTGGCCCACCGTGGGCCCGTGCCCGAGGCGGTCCCGTGCGTTCTCTGGGTTACGCGTCCCTACACCTGGCATTGAATTGCTCAATTACAGACCCAGCCCCCGCCCGACTGATTCCTGCTTTGTGGGAAGGGGCCCTCCGGTGGGGTTCCGGCTGCACCCACACCTCCCAGGCCACGTCAGGGGGTGGTGGCCTCGGCCCGGCCAGCCTGGTACACGCTGAGGAGGGAGGAGATGGTCCCGAGGAGGCCCACGAGCCACGGGGGGAAGCGGCCAGCCCACAGGACACCCGGAGGCAGCCAGTGCACGGCATTGGCCAGATCAGCCACGTTGCTCAGGAGGGTCAGCACCTCCGACCGGACCTGGGCCTCCATGGCCCTCCTCTTGCTCCGGGGCAGCCGGCTGTGGGAGCAAAGAGAAGCCGCTGGAGAAGACCCAGGCACACCCAGGCTCACCCCAACGGGCAGGAAGAGGTGACAGCAGAGCGAGTGAGGAGAACTGGTGGGGCTGTGTCCCCGTCACACCCCCCAGAGGGAGCCCACAGCATGAACAGAGCACAGACGGGTGTGGGAAGTCTCAAACCCACACCTCAGTCCTCCGGGCCCTGGAGATAGGCAGGGAGCTGCGGGGGTCGGGGGGCGGTCGGGGCCTCAAGCCAGCCTATGTTTCCCCATCTGGGCCAGTCCCTGGAGCTGCTGTAAGGCCCCCGCGCAGGCCCGCACAGGCGTGAGGCTGGAAACGTGGCAGCTCACAGCACCTCCCCGGCTAGGGAAACCCAGCAGCATCCCCAGCTTGCGGGAGGAAGTCAGCCTTTCTCCCGGGCAAAACCCTGGGGTCGTACCTGGTGAAGGCCACTGCGGGGCCCCTCAGCTTCCGTCTCAGCGTCAGGACCATCCTCAAGGACCTGCAGCAGGCAAAGCAAAGCAGGGTGGGGGCGCAGGGGTTAGCTCCCCATTGCCAGCCCAAGGGGAGGCTGCCGCCCCCCACGACAGCCACAGGTAACTCCAGCGCCCTGCACCCTCCCAGAGCACCAGACTGGCCTGGGCCTCGGAAGCTTCCGGGGACTCCTAATTCGGACCCTGACCTGCCTGCACTGTCCACACAAGATCTGGAAGCATCTAGTGCTTCTGATGCTGGAGCCAGGCACGTGTCCCTGGCCAGGTGACCTGTCCCTGGAGAGCATGGGGACACAAGTCAGCACCTGCAGTGAGGTAAGTGGGTCTGCATCAGACCACCTGGAAGACTGAAGCAACACGCCGACTCCTGCGCCCCGGGTCCCCAGACTAGCAGAATCCAAACCTCTCGGCAACTGGGCATCTGCATTTCAGCAAACTCCCTGGTGACTCTCAGGTACCTTGGGGTCCTACGGACACCAGGTCGGGACCCTCACGCTTGCTCACACCAAATAGAGAGACATGATGAAAAAGTATAAGCTCTAAAAATGAACAGGCAGAGCACAATTTGAGGGCAATGCCACCACTCTGTGATGCTGTAACAGTGGGAATGTCTCATTACACACCTGTCCAAGCCCCCAGGACATGCAACACAGAGTGAATCCAGATGTAAACCACGGACCTGGGGTGCCCGTGACTTGTCGATGTGGATTCATCGACTGCTGGGAGAGTTTGATCATGGAGGGGCTGTGGGGCGGGTGGGGAATCTATGGAAACTCTCTTTACTTTCAGTTCAATTGTGCTGTGAAGCTAAAACTCTAAAAATAAAAGTCTATTTTAAAAAATTAATGGAACCGGGGTGCCTGGCTGGCCTAGTCGGTAGAGTGTGCTTTCTGGGCAGGGAGCTCGGAACAAACCCGCTCAGCGCATTTACAGAGAGGGAAATGTTCGGGAGGAAACCATTATTTGAAAGTTCTAGAAACAGTCTGGGTTTCAGAAGCACACAGCCAGTCAGGAAACTCCTGTTCTCTCTGGGGACATTTGCCGACGACCACGCACACACGCAGAGACCCGGGGAAAGCCATCCCCCTCCAGCTACTTTGGTCCCCGGCCTGGAGTTCTTCCTGCTTCCTGGGGCCAGTGGGCACAATCATGTTCTCCAAAGATGTCCACGTCCTCATCTGCAGGCCCTGTGAGCGTGCTCCCTTACATGGCACAAAGGACTTTGCCGATGGGACGGAGGTAAGGGTCTTGAGATGGGGGAGGACGTGGGGTCCTCACGGGGCCCTCATGAGGGGGAGGCGGCAGGGTCGGAGTCGGAGATGTGCCCAAGGAAACGGGCTGTGCTCTGAGGACGGAGGGGAGGGACCACGGGCCAAGGAATGCAGTAGTCTCTAGAAGCCGGAAGAGGCAGGACTGGCTTCTCTCCCCCCACCTGGAGGTGTAGCGCAGTGAGTCCACACTGGACTTCCGACCTCCAGAGCCGTGAGGCACTGCGCATGTGCTGTTTCGAGCCACGGGGTTTGGGGGGGGTCTGTTACAGCTGCAGGTCTAGGGAGGCACCCCTTACGGCCTGCTGGCGGGTGTTGAGGCCACGTACCTGGCAATGCCCAGGAGCAGGGAGAGGCCCCAGAAGGCTGTGCTCAGTGTCCACCACCGGGCAGGGTCCACGCGGAGGATCTGGGCATCAGCAGCCCAGGCGATGTGCTCACAGGGGTAGTAGAGCTGGTCGGCCAGGTTGCCGAGGACCGACACGCAGCGGACAAAGCTGTCTTCCTCCTGCAGGACCAGGAGAGAGGGAGGCGTGCGCCTGGAGTCAGACCTACCCAGGCCCATCTTAGGGACCCAGGCCAAGCCAGATGGCAGTCACGGGGCAACGTCCAGGCCCAGCAGGCTGGCCCACGGCGGGCCACTGCAGGGGAAGAAAGGCCCTATTTCCGCTTCTCAGCAGTGTGGCCATCATCCCCCCGGTGGAGCAGAAGCTGTCAACTTAGCTGCACAGGGGATCCCCTGGAGAGCTTCAGAACGCCAGCCCCAGCCCCAGGGATTCTGCCTCACTAGGTCCGGCATAGGCCCTGGCACCAGGAATGTCTTTTAAGTTCCCGGATGATTCCCAAGTAGGACAATTTGGGATGCCCTGCATCAGGGCCTTCCCACCCTGCAGCCTTCTGGGTCCTGCGCACGGGTCTCCAGGCCAGGCTCCCTGGCACCAGGCTCTAGGAGAGCCACAGAGGGAGAGCCCTGCAGAGCACCCCGACCCGACAGGGCAGGGTGGTACTGAACACGCTCAGTGCGGACAGTAAGTGGGCACCAGGCTGCAAGGCTTGGGTCACCACTCCAAACCAGAGGGGTCACGAGCCCCGCAAACAGGCAAACTGAGGTACTTAGGGGAAGCTGCCACCTGCCCTCCTCATACAAGGACAGGCCTCGGGCCTTCGAATAGCAGAACCCAAGCCCTCGCCCAAGTTCCACTGAGTTCCGAGCCACGGCCTGTATCCAGTGAGGCAGGACCAGCTGAGGCTCAGGAGCCTGGTGCCCACGCCGCATTCTTGGGGCCCACCCCTCAGGACTCCACCCCTTGGAGGCCTCCAAGCTGGGGGGGGGGTCCCCTGTGTGTCCTTCACTTCCTGCCTTCAGCCTCCTCATCCTCACTGCCTGCCATACCCCTCACCCTCCCCTCCGGAGCCCCCTTCCTTCCTAGTGGCCAGCTGGGATCCTGCCTCCCTCTAGGTTCTGAACCCCACTCCAGCTCCCCCATCCTGCCTGGGACCCTCTGGTGTGTTTGGCGTATTTCAGTCCTCCCCCGAGAACAGGGCCCTCCCTGCCCGCTCTCCAGTGTGCTCCTTCCACTAGGGTCTCCAGAGAAGCAGCGAGGCCAAGGTCCTACACTGGGGAGGAGGAGATGCTCACAGGACAGGGGTGCAGACACCTAAACACCAGACCCAGCAAAAGGAGTTCTTGTTCTGGCCAAGGGACATACAAGGTGCAGAGGGCCCCCGCCCCTTGTCTAGGGACGCAGAGGAGATGCTGGTTCGGGAAGGGGTCCTCTGAGGATGCATGGGAAGCGTGCCCTAATCAAAGACGAGGATAGGAGATGGGTGTCAAAACAGGAGGAAGGTCCAGAAAGCACTTGGGATTGAGGTGACTGGGCCATTGGGCGCTGGAGTGGAATGAGGGTGTGTGCATCTGAACGTGGAGTGGCTCAGAGAGGGGCCAGGGGTAGGGGGGACGGGCAGGGCAGCCCACAGAGGGGCATAACAGCCAGGCAGGCCCAGGGAAGCTTCCGGGCCCATCCCCTGGGGAAATGTCCCCTGTTCTAACAGCAAAATCGACATGTCCATCGTCAGGGGATCAGTTACATAAATCACCATCCAGCTCTATAGCAGATTACGGGTGCGGCCACAAAGAAGGAAGGAGCTCTGTTTGGACTGATAGGGAGTGACCTCCAAGCCATGCTGTTTAACAGACAAAAGCAAGTCCCAAACAGTGTACCAGGCGCACAACTAATTATGTAAACAGGGTGATTTGCCCGCGCACGGACAGGACACCTCGTGAAGGAATCACAAAAAGCCGACAACAGTATATGCCTCTGAGGCGAAAAACCAAGGGTGAGGGGATCAGGAAGGAGGGAGACTTTTTAACTCCCTAACTTTTTGGAATGTATGAATGTATAAGCCATTTTTTCAAATAAATTCAAATGAGAACATCTGACCATCTCACAAAAGCAAGCAAAATTTTTAAAAGTAAGAAACAGCCTACACCGCTGCCTTTGGACAAGTCCATTAAACGTGGTTGCCCAGAGACTACGGCCCCACACACCCTGTTACCTCTGCCCCCAGGCCATACTGCTTCGTGTAGATAAACATGGCCACATCATCGAAGAGTCGCAGAACAGTCCTACAGTGGCTGAGTTGGGAGGACAGGGTCAGCAGGCGTGTCCCCACTTCTGATCTGGCCGGACAGCGTTCCACCAGGACCCCGCCAACCAGTTGGCAACAGTACCCCAGCGTTCGGATCTGTGGGAAACCAGAGCAGTCAGCAGGGCCCTGCTCTTGGGCCGAGCTGGATCGGCCCCCACGTGGCCGTGGGTCCCCTGGGATCAAGTTGGGGGGCGAGGGGGCTTGTGCAGACTAGATCAACAAACTTCCAATAAAAGCTGAAAGTTTAAAGAGATACTTGCGGGTGGGACAAATGGAGAAACGTGACCTCATTGTCCAAAAGTCACTGTGGAGACTCTAAGGGAATGCTGGCTCGTGTCACTGAGGGGCACACCCTTTGGAGACAGATGTGACCGAGACAAGAAAATGCAACCATTTCACACCTCAGGGGTCCCCCTTTTCCCAGCAGACAGGAGGATGAGGCGGACATGTATATTTGCATCTACCCAGCTGGACCAATGTCTGTAGCTGGGTTGAGGAGTGGAGAAGTTATCGGGCCTCAGCCCAGTGAGCCGAGGGTAATCTGCTTGACTTACTTCAGTGAGAAGGAATCCACTCAATGGGTGGTTTGGGGCATGGGGAACTGGGTCAGCTTCACCACCCTTACATCTTTATTTCATCTGCTTTCCAGAAATTGCTTTTTCCCGTTGTTTTATGTATTTTCACTTATTTCTTTTCAGAATTGTAATAGCAAAACTGTGTCATAGCAAAACTCTGCGTTTTAAATGTACAGCTTGGGAATGTATTAAAACCCGAATGCCCAATCATAAGGTCTTTGAATGGGACCTAATTGCCTACCACTGGTACATTTCCTGGTACAACCTAAATGCCTACCTATAAGAGAGAAAAGCTTATATAGGAACAAGCTGAGCATCTGCCTTCAAGGGCCTTCCAGCCATATGGGAAAGGTCTAAAAATCCTAAATCCCCCTATGAGATTGTTAGGGACAAACCAAGTGGCCTAGTCAGATCCTAAATGTTCAAACAGGGATTTGGTTGGCCTGTAAATGTCCAGCCAGGGTGAACTGGAACAACCTAAGTGCCCAATTATAGGGGAATCGGTCGCAACCTCAATGTCCAGCCATAGAAGGAGTGCTGCAACACCCTGAGTCCTCATATGAGACTGCCTGGGACAACCCAGTGACCACCTTCAGTGGTCTGGTCGGATCCCAAATGTCCAAACGTGCGGATTTGGCGGGTATTGAAAACACCCCACCATGATGAGTTAGCAGGAGCAACCTGTATGTCCACTGCTAGGGGACAGGGTCGGAGCCCAGCCGGAAGGGCGCCTCGGCGATGGATCCTGAGCGACCCGCCCCGCTCTGGCCTCCGTTTCCAGACACGGAGCTCCAGCCCTGCTCCGGGACCACGGGCCGCGCTCCGCCCCAGCCTCACCAGGCGGTCCCGGCCCCTGTACGACTCCAGCGCCGACGCCAGGCCGCTCAGCGCCGCCATGGCAACTCCGCCGTGACGCCACCATGACGTCGGCGCGCAGCGCCAGGGGGGCGGGGGCACGGTGCGAGGCCTCGCCCCCCCCCCCCCGGGAACGCTCTGCGCAGGCGCAGCGGCGACCCTTTGTCCCCGGCCCGACCCATCGTCCCCGGCCCGGCCCTTTGTCTGCTGCGGGGAGCTCCCCAGTCTGCAGCTTAGTGGCCGCAACGTCCCCGCTCGCCCGGGGCCTCTGCACCCAGACGGCCCTCGGAGCCCACTGCCTTCTGCCCCGCGACGGCTGGTCTTTTCAAGTTAACCATCTACCCACAAAAGTAGTATCCAAGCGAAAGCACCAACCTGTTTGCTCTGGTTCAAGAAGGGATTTTTCTTTCTTTTCTTTTTTTTTTTTAAGATTTTATTTATTTATTTGACAGAGACACAGCGCGAGGGAACACAAGCAGGGGGAGTGGGAGAGGGAGAAGCAGGCTCCCCGCCGAGCAGCGACCCTATGAGGGGCTCGATCCTAGGACCCGGGGATCATGACCCGAGCCGAAGGCAGACGCTTAACGACTGAACCACCCAGGCGCCCCAAGAAGGGATTTTTCTTTTTAATTTCTGTGCTGCACCCTTTCTCCCTTGTCTGCTCGTCTACAGTGAGCATGCGCAGCTGTTGTAAATTCATAAAAGGCATTTTGAGAAAGTTAAGGAAACTCATAGATTCGTTCTAGAATAGGCGAAGGTCTGGTAACTGGAGTTGCTCCGAAGAGGGTAACTAACTGTGGCTGGGAAGAGGCTATTAAATTGTTCACCTTTGGGGCGCCTGGGTGGCTCAGTCGTTGCGCGTCTGCCTTCGGCTCAGGTCATGATCCCAGAGTCCTGGGCTCAGGTCATGATCCCAGAGTCCTGGGATCGAGCCTGCATCGGGCTCCCTGCTCAGCGGGAAGCCTGCTCCTCCCTCTCCCTCTGCCTGCTGCTCTGCCTACTTGTGTGCTCGCTCTCTCTCTCCCTCATTGTCAAATAAATAAATAAAATCTTTAAAAATAAATAAATAAATAAATTGTTCACCTTTGTACCCGTTTCAGGTGCACAGCATAAAGGTTTGACTCACAGACACCCTGACGTGATTACAGTAAGTTTAGTTAGCAACCATCATCTGGTATAATTTTTTTTTTAATTTTTTTCCCTTTAAATTTTTTATTGTTATGTTAATCACCATACATTACATCATTAGTTTTTGATGTAGTGTTCCATGATTCATTGTTTGTGCATAACACCCAGTGCTCCACGCAGAATGTGCCCTCTTTAATACCCATCACCAGGCTAACCCATCCCCCCACCCCCATCCCCTCTAGAACCCTCACATCTGGTATAATTTTGTAGCTTTTGAATTTTGTGCAACATGCGTTATTCTCTCATCAAAAAGTCAAATGAGATTTTTCAAAAAGTTAACATGACCTGTTTCCTTTTTTTTTTTAATTGTAACATTCACATAAGAATCACCATGTTAAGATGTACAATGCAGTGGCATTTACAACACCCATATGTACAAACATCACCCCTTTTAAGCTTCAGAACATTTTCATCATCCTCAGAGGAGACCCTGTAATTCTGACAAGCAGTTAATCTATCCCTCCCTGCTCCAGCCCATAACCTCCACCATCTGCTTTGTCTTGGTGGGCTTACCCATTCTGGATATTTCATATAAGTGGAATAACGCGATATGTGACCATGTGTGTCTGGCTCATCCGCATTGTAGCTTATATCAATACTCCATTCCTTTTGTGGCTGCGTAATAGTCCCTTGTATGGATCTATGGCATTTTGTTTATCCATTCATCCCCTGATGGACCATTGGGTTGTTTCCACATTTTGACGACTGTGAATAATGCTGCTGTGAACGTGGGCGTGTGTGTATCTGTTCAAGTCCCTGCCTTCAACTTCAGTTCCTTTGGGTAGACACCCAGGAGTGGAATGGCTGGGTCATAGGGTAGCTCTACGTTTGACTTTTCGAGGAACCACCAAACTGTTTTCCACATTGACTGCACCACTTGACATCCCCACCAGCAATGCACAACACTCTCCACATTCTTGCCAACACTTTTATTTTGCCTCATTACTATTATTACTGCCTTATTATTATGGCCATCCTGCTGGGTGGGACATGGTATCTCACTATAGCTTTGTTTTATATTTCCCTAATGACTCATGATGTCGACTGGTTGCCTTTTGCAAAATATTGCCCCTTGATTTCAACTTTCAGGACTCTTCCTGCCTGCTCCCTTCTTTCCAACCACACTGCTTTCCTCCTGGTCCTTGAAGTTACAGTACACTCCTGCCCCAGGGCCTTTGCATTGGTTGTGCCCCCTGCCTGGAATGCTCTCCCTCCAGATTCCCACATGGCCCCCTCCCTCACGTCCTCCTCATGTTTACTCGAACATCATCTTCTCATTGGACCTCCCCATCACACCCTCCTGGGCACTTCCTACCCACGTTTCTTGCTGTCTTATTTTCCTCCTAAGTTTGGAATACTATCTTTTTTTTTTTTTTAAGATTTTATTTATTTATTTGACAGAGAGAGAGCGAGAGCAAGTAGGCAGAGAGGCAGGCAGAGGGAGAGGGAGAAGCTGACACCCTGCTGAGCAGGGAGCCCAATGTGGGACTCGATCCCAGGACCCTGAGATCATGACTTGAGCTGAAGGCAGCCGCTTAACCAACTGAGCCACCCAGGCGCCCTGGAATACTATCTAATGTCACTATATCGCTTCTTTATCTAGCTGCCTAGTTACTTGTCTCTCAACAGAATGTGAGGACTTCGATCTGTCTGGGTCATAGCTATGTCCCCATGGCCTGGCACAAAATAGTTTCTCAATAAGTGCCATAACCTTCGGGGCTCAGCTCCCGGCCCAAAGCTCTGTGCTCACACTCCATCCACACGATCCTGGGAAACCTCCTCTACTCCCATGACTTCCCTGGCCCCCTCATCATTGGCCTCTCCCCCTCATGCCTCTTTAATCCTGACCTGACTCCTGCCCCCACCTGCCCCCTGGACACTTTCCCTGCGCATCCCCCCAACCCCATCCCCACACTCAACATGTCCCAGCATCATCCAGAACATCTTGCTCTCCTGTGTCCCCATCTCAGGGCTGCCCTGCCAGTCACAGACCTGGCTCACCTTTTTCTCTCCACACACGCCCCTCCCACATCCCAACAGTCACCAAAATTTCACTTGAATCCATCCACTTGCTCCTGGCCCACAGCCCCCTCCATTGGCAGCCCCCCTCCTCTCTCCAAGCCCTAGACCCCAAGCCCTGCCTCCCCCAAGTCTGCCTCCCTACAACATCTCAAGATGGGGAGTCAAGAGACTCTTTAACCCCCACATCTGACCACAGCCCTCCTTGCTTAGGACCTGGGCACAGGCATCTGTGCGCCCCCACCCCCCAACTAGGGACACTGTTCCTGCAGAAAAAAAAAAATCCATGCCAAGCCCAAGGCCTGCAGAGGGAAGAGGGTCTTGGGCTGTAGACCCTGCTGCTGCCTGAGTGGCTAGGTCCCTTCCCTGGAGCCCATGCTGTCCCTGACAGCTTCGTAATCACACAGTGCATTTCTCTGAGTGGCTGCTGAGAGCCAGGCCCTGTGCCAGGCACCAAGCAGACAGCAGTGAGTCTTGCAAGCCCTGCCCAGCCCTCCCAGCGTCCTCCACCATCTGGTCAGGGCTGAGCTTGACCTTTGAGAGAGAGAGACAGGAGATAGCCTGGCATTCACAGCTGGCCTTGTAGTTGCTAGGAGCTGGCCTGGCGGTCCCGGCTAAGCCCCGGTGTTCTCTTGCAGGACATAAATAATTTTGCAGAATGCCAACAATGGACAAGGCCACTCTGTGACCGTGGTGGAACAAGACAAAACAAGCTCACTCCGTGATCACGTCTGAATGCAGGCAAAACATGAGCATTGTCCAAACCACAGCAGCAACCAGACATTCACTTTTCCTGGATAGTCTGAATTGCAGTCCTTTGACCACTGACAGCTTTACTCTTGCTTCATTCCTTAGACGTTCTGATAAAAACTCAGACCCTCAATAAGAAAATTACCTCTCCCTCTTTGCTTCCCGACAGCATCCAGATCCACCTGCTGGGCCTTCTTTTCCCAGCGGGCAGAAGGACTAGGCTGAAATGTGTATTTGCAACAACCTGACTGGGCCAAAGCTCTCAGCCAGGCCCCAGGCAGGGGAGCAGTGATGGGACCTCATCCCGGTGGACAAAACAACAGTTTGCTTGAATTTAGTGAGAAGAAACCCACTCAGTTAAATAAGTCCTGGAGAGGTATTAGCTAATGTTACAATGACAGTTGTATTGCAATAGAAATGTATCAAATCAATATGTTTTGCGTCTCAAACACAGGCAATATTATGTGTCAACTATAGCTCAATGAGAGAGAAGGAAGGAAGGAAGGAAGGAAGGAAGGAAGGAAGGAAGGAAGAAAAAGGACCCATTTTGTAGCTGATTTGGGGTCATGAACTGGGGCCCTTGTATCTTTAGTTCACTTTTTTTTTAAGAAATTGTTTTTCCGGGCGCCTGGGTGGCTCAGATGGTTAAGCGTCTGCCTTCGGCTCAGGTCATGATCCCGGGGTCCTGGGATCGAGTCCCGTGTCGGGCTCCCTGCTCCTTGGGAGCCTGGTTCTCCCTCTGCCTCTCTCTCTCTCTCTCTCTCTGTCTCTCATGAATAAATAAATTAATTAAAAAAAATCTTTATAAAAAAAAGAAATTGTTTTTCCATTTAAAAAGTTACTTATTGTGATAAAATATACATAACATAAAATTTACCATGATAACTATTTTTAAATGCACAGCTCAGTGGCACGAAGCACATTCACATTGTCGTGCAACCATCGCCACCCTCCTTCTCCAGAATTTGTCATCTTCCCAAACCTAAACTCTGTCCCCATGAAAGACTGACTCCCCCTTTCCCCCATTCATATTATTTTATGTATTATTTTCACGTCGGATCATCTCAAAAAGGAAAGTCAAATTTCCCACCAGTAAGACCATGCGAAGCAAAGACCCACTTCCTTGAACCTCCCCGGAAGCACGGAAGACAAGCCGGAGTGAAGACAAGCCTGTCCCACACCCACAGCGCCCCAGGGAGTGTGCTCTCCCTTGCCGTCACAAGTAACAAGCTTGAATTTGCTCAGCCACAAATGTGCTCCTGATGGTCTTTGGGCTGGGAGGGCACTGACATCCTTAAGTGTACCTTGGATGTCCGTGAGCCCTGGAATGACATTAAGCATTGCAGTGACCCAAAGACCAAAGACACTGGCTCGTCCTGTGTGGGGAGCGTTAGGAAGCAGACCAGCAGGAAAACTTCGGGAAAAGGCAGTAAATGAATACCAGCAGCCTACTGCCTCAAATCCTCACTGCTGCTTTCTGAAGTGGTTACCATCCTCACAGCCCCATTTCCCAGATGACAAAACTGAGGCTTCGTGAAGTCAAGTCACTTGCCAAGATCTCTTGAGCTCTCAGAAGGCAGGATCCTCTGGCCTCACTCCTGATCTGCCTCCCAGCCACCCTCAGAGTTGCTGGGTGACCATTGTGACAGCACCGTCTGGGGGAAGCTCTTTGGTCACAATGGGCAGAGCTGGACCACACTGGGATGCAGCCTTGGAAGGAACATGTGAGCATCCTCTGGGAGACTGGGGACAGAGGGAGCCTCGAGGGTCAGGCCGGTTGCCAAGCGCATTTTCTAAGACTCATTAGTCCCCATGCCACCCCTTGAGGTAAGTACCATACCCTCATCCCTGATGTGGAAGCTGAAGCTCACAGGAGCCCAATTACTTATTCCGAGGTGACCTAGCTAGTAACTTCAGTTGTCAGATTCTCCATCAACTATTTGAAGACTTCTCCACTCTCAACTCTTTTCGGTACCAAAATGATCAAAAAAGCAACCATAGACCCTGACAAACTGTGGTCTTTTTTTTTTTTTTTAAAGATTTTATTTTTATTTATTTATTTATTTGAGAGAGAGAATGAGAGATAGCACGAGGGAAGAGGGTCAGAGGGAGAAGCAGACTCCCTGCTGAGCAGGGAACCCGATGTGGGACTCGATCCCAGGACCCTGGGCTCATGACCTGAGCCGAAGGCAGCTGCTTAACCATATCATGCTTGCTGCCTGCTTTCTAAAGAGGTCGACATGAGCTAGCTGTGAGCTGATGCTCAGTGAGCCTGCTCCAGGAGGGGCTGGTCTCTGAGTGGCTGGGACGAGGGGGAGGGAGACTCCTCCTATCTGAGCAAAGGCAAGAAAGTCCCAGTCAGCTAACTGGGGTGCTGGCAGCCCCTCTTGGAGCTGGAGATCAGGAAAGTGGAGTGAGAGGTGTCTAAGCCTCAGAGAGTTTGAGGATAGGAAGAGATCCAAGAGAACAACTGCAGAGGGCAGAAAGCCCTATGAGGAGGTGTGTGGCAGAGATGGGACATTGGCCAGGACTGAGCAGACATTGGAGGGGAGAGCCATGGCCTTGACCACTGACTGAGGGTGAGGAGGGGGGCTCCTGTATCAGACAAACTGTAGAAAGCAGTGGTTCATTCTGCAGCCCTTCCTGGTGCTCACTCTGTGCTGACCCCCTCTGGGAGGGGCCTTGGCACCTGCTGTTCCTTCTGCCGAGGATGCTATTCCCCCAGGTACCCAAAAGCTCCTCTCCCACCTTTTTCAGGTCTTTGTCATCTCGGTGACACTACCCTATTTAAAACTGCAACCCTCCCATCCCACCTCCCTACCCCCATCCTCCTTCCCTGTGTGATGGTTTTACCCACAGCACTTAGCTCCTTCTCCTAACTCTGCAACTTACAGTAGTACGCTTATTCCGTATTGTCTGTCACCTCCTCGCCCCAGCATTAACTCCACAAGGGCACGGCTCTTGGTCTGTTTTGTTATCTGATGTTCCCCCTTCCAAGAACCTAGAACAGTGCCTGGCACACAGTAAGCGTCAAATGAATGATGGTATCTCTACTTTCCCTGGGGGCAGGCACAGGGGCTGCGCCTGTTTTTTCACAATGTGTCCAGCCCCGAGGGCCCCGTGCCTGGAACACAGGAAGGAGTAAAAGGCAGCATTGTCCTCAGGCGTCGCTTGCTCACTCCCGGGTCTCGCCCCCTCACAGGTGGCGCCTTGTCCCCCGATGGCCGCGGTCGCCCTGCTGCCGTGCCCGCTGTCCAGGCGGGACTTCCTCAAGGCCTCGCACTTTGCACTGGGGCCCGACCCGCGGCTGCACGTGGGCGCCATGCAATCCACGTCGCATCAGGACTTCCGGGCGCCCCCGGGAGGCACCCGCGCACCGCAGTGCCAGGAGCCGCCCGGTGGGTCCCTCTTCGCCCAGGACACGCGCTCGGCGGGCACGGAGCTCGGGTCGGAGACGCACTGCGCGTACGCGCCCCCGGGGCCGTCGCCGTCCGCGCGGTCGGAGATGCGGGAGCGCACCCTCGCCTTGCAGGCCGGCAACCTGCGCGTGCACGCGGGCCCGCGCGTCCGCACCGGCCTCTCCACCGTGCGCGCCGACTTCGGCTGGCCCGAGCCGCCGGCGCGCGCGAGCGAGCAGATCCGCGGCGCACGGCTCATCTTCGACCGCGACTCGGTGCCGCCTGGCGACAGAGCCAAGCTGCGCATCCCGCCCACCACCTACCAGGCGTTTTACACCCCCCACGACCCGTGCCCGCGGTCCCGCGCGCCCTGCTGCCACCTCGGTGAGCGCGCCGGGGCGGCCCGCGCCACTTGCCAACCGCGTGGTTCTCCAGGCGGGCGGGGATTCCGCGTCCTCTCCCAGGGGACATTTGGCTACGTCTGGAGATCAATTTTTTTTTTTTTAAGATTTTATTTATTTATTGAAGAGAGATAGGGGCGCCTGGGTGGCTCGGTCGTTAAGCGTCTGCCTTCCGCTCAGGTCGTGATCGATCCCGGAGTCCTGGCATCGGACTGGACTCTGCTCCATGGGAAGCCTGCTTCTCCTTCTCCCACTCCCTCTGCTTGTGTTCCCTCTCTCGCAGTCTCTGTCAAATAAATAAATAAAATCTTAAAAAAAATAAAATAAAAGAGCGCGCACATGAGCAGGGGAGAGGGGCAGAGGGAGAGGGAGAAGCAGACTCCCTGCTGAGCAGGGAACCCGATGTGGGACTCGATCCCAGGACCCTGGGCTCACGACCTGAGCCGAAGGCAGCTGCTTAACCAACTGAGCCACCCAGGCACCCCTGGAGACCATTTTGGTTGTCATCACCCACGGAGAGGGTGCTACTAGCAGGGAATGAAGGGAGGCCAGGGATGCTGCTAAACATCCTACCATGCACAGGACAGCTCGCCCCAGTAAAGAATTATCCAGCCCCAAATGTCAACAGTGCCAGGCTGAGAAAACCAGGAACCTCCCTGAGCCTCAGTTTTTGTTTTTTTTTTTTAAAGATTTTATTTTATTTATTTATCTGAGAGAGAGAGAATGAGAGAGAGCACATGAGAGGGGGGAGGGTCAGAGAGAGAAGCAGACTCCCTGCCGAGCAGGGAGCCCGATGCGGGACTCGATCCAGGGACTCCAGGATCATGACCTGAGCCGAAGGCAGTCGCTTAACCAACTGAGCCACCCAGGCGCCCCAGAGCCTCAGTTTCTATAAGCATAGAATGGCATAGCTCCTCAATTTTTTTCAAGGGGCTGTGCCATGGGCAGAAGTCATGAATGGTGGTTTGGAATCAGACAAATCTGCTAAGTCACCACCCCATCCCTGACACCATAGTAGTTATGTGACTCTGAGCAAGTTGACCTCCCCAAGCCTGGATTTTCCTCCGTGCAACAATGGAGCCCCACTTCATAGGAGCTGCTGAAGCCAAAGGAGCCCAGAGTGTATGATGCACCTGGCATCCAGTGAGCGCTCAAAAAAGAGAAGCTGTCATTTGTATGATTTTCTAATTCTGTGACTCCAGGGGACCAGCTGGTGGTCACTAGTCAGAGTCCCTCCACGCTGGACTCCGGGATTGTCAGATCTGGACTTGCCTCAGTTCTGGTTTTGAATTTCCGTGACTTCTGGCAAGTCATTTGGCCTCTCTGAGCCTCAGGAAGGCTGTAAGGTGGGGAGAATTATGAACCGTGCAAATGAGGTTCGAAGCACTTAACCTAGATGCCGGGTTCAATACTTGGTAATTATTCTTGTTATCATTCCTTGTGTTATTTTTTGGTGTTTTCCACACAGCCCTCGGGCGAGGCTAGTCAGGACTGCCCAGCTCCCCTTTCCAGGTGAGGACTTGCATCCCAGGGGGCCTGAGGCTGCAGGGGCTCAGTGCCCTTCTCTGTCTAATCTTGCTCATCCTCAGGGGGTCTCAGCCCCCTCAGGTGGGACCACAGGAGACAGGATGATGGGACCTCCTACCAGAGACACTTCCAGGCCCTGCCGAGCCCACAGGCCTTGATGTGTAAGAGGGTAAATCGAGGTGGGGCTGGTGCTGCGGGGGAGGGCAGCAATAGGGGCTGGGTGGGGTTGTCCATCCCACCTCTGTCCACCCACAGGCCTTCTCCAGCGTGGAACTGGGAGACTTCAAGATTGGCTATGGGCCCATGTGTTCGGAGCAGAAGCAAGCCTTCAGGCCCCAGGGTCTGCCCGCAGACAGGTACAAAGAGACGGTGGCCTTCCATCAGGGTGACAGGCTCTCAGCGACTCGTGGAGCGTGCCACCCAAGGCTCTGGGGCCAATACTGTGCCTTTGAGGCCTCCATCACCTACAAGCAAGGCTCTCCCACCATTAGCACCCCACCGCTTGGCCTTTGGGAAGCCTGCCTCTCTCCCATTTCCTGGGAGTTGCAAGGGCCCGGATCAGACGAATCCCCCCTGGTCTGCAGGTATGACAAGGCCCAGGCCGCAGCCCACATCCACTATGTGAATATTCGTCCTGGAGATGGCCTGTTCCATGATAGGACCACCAAAGCTGATCATTTCTATGCGCGAGAGCCAGGTGAGTCGGCTGCAGACCCTGCCCACCCCTCCCCCTTCCCCCAAGCCCCCCTTCCCACAGGGGCCTCCGGGTCTGCTCAGCCTCTGCTCTGCCACTGGCAGAGCCTTTTGTCCTTCACCATGACCAGACTCCAGCATCGCACATCCTGGAAGGAAATTGGTGCCCTGGTCCAGGCAGCCTCACCACCTCCATGCATTTCTTCCATGGTCAGGTCAGCCGGAAGGGGGAGACCTTCCCCCGGGGCTCATCAGGGAAAGGGTTTCCCAGGTAGTACCAATAGCAGGTGCAAAGGCCTTGAGGTGGGAGTGAGTGTGACGTGTGGGGGATCTCCTGGGTCTATCTGCGGCATCTAGGGTTAAGTCCCTTAACCACTGGGAGCCTCGGTGGCTCTGTCTGCAAAATGAGATACAGTGCCTACTCCCAGCACCAGCAACGTGGGGCCTAGAGAGGGTGTGAGCTCTCCAAGGTCTTAGAGCGCTCGCCTCTTGTCTCCACCCGGGTTTTGGGAGATCCCGGACACGGGAGCTTCCCAGAGGCCATATGGTCTTACAGCCGCCGCCCGTGACCGAACCACCCAGCCGCCACGTGCCTTACGAGAAATTGAAGAGTCACGTGCGCCTAGGGGACTCCTCGCTGCTCGAACAGTTCTTCCAGACCCCCATGGGCACGGACTGTTGCCCCCATGGGACGCCAGAGAAGCCACAGAAAGCGCCCAGTCTCCACTTACTGCGTAGCAACCTGCCACGGGGCACCGACGGTGAGCGGGTTGTGGGGGGTGGGGCAGGGCTCCCTTCCCCGCCGCAGCTCTAACCCCGCCCCGGCCAGTTTCGCCCCGCCCACCGCCCGATTCTGGCTCCGCCTCCTGAAGAGCGAGATCCCACCCCAGGGACCGAGATCCCAACTCTGACCCTGGACAACCCGCCCCTTCGTGGACTTGACTCCCCACCACCACCACCGTCTCCGCCACGGCACCGCCCCCTGCATGGCCGTAGGCCCGCCCCTCTCCATATCTGCCCTTTCCCGACTCTAACCCCTGCTCTTCTGTCAGACTCTGGCTCCGCCCCCTCACCGACTAGCCCGCCCTGCCTGCCCCCTCACTAGTCTGCGCTTGCCACGCCCCTGGCTCCTCCCTCCGCCCCGCCTCCTAATCCATCTTCGCTCCAACTTCAGCGAGGGCTCAGGCTTCGCCCTGAAGTCCTACTCCATCCTTAATCTCTCACGTTCCTGCCCAGGGACCATGCCTCTCCTCCCTCAGCCCCTCAGCTCGACTACCCCCACCCCAAATCTCCAGAAACAGATTTTTTAACCATGAACCAGAAGATGCTGAAGCCTCATAGAACAGCTCCGGCCTCCGTGACTGAGGACATGCTACAGCGGGTGAGGGATGGGGAAGGGTACCTCCCTAACCACGTAACCCCCAAAATCAGTGTAGCTTTATCTCAGGATGATAATGCCGTCAGCTCAGGCCCAGAATTAGTATCAAGTCCTTTCAGGGTCTCTCTAGGGTGACCCCAGGCACAGGGTCATCTTAATGGCACCCCAGCCTCAAGGTCATCCCTAGCTCACCACCAGGGTAGTTAGTGGCAGGGCCAGCTCAAGGACACCTTTATATCACCAGCCACAGTTATACCCCCAGCTGAGGGTTAGCTCACAGTTGCCTGCGTCACCACAGTCCTGGGGTCATTCCAGGGGTCACGGGTTTCTCTCCAGCTCCTGGGTCAGCCCAAGCTGGGGCACCTTTTGCCCACCTCCTCAGAGCCCAGTCATCAGCCTTTGCTGCTCCTAGGGTCGTATGGGGGCCACGGGGTGGGCCAGGTAGGTCCGCCAGCCTCCAGGCTGTCCTGCCAGGCTGCCCACCCTGCCTCCACAGTGCAAGTACAGCCACATTGAGCCCCCACTGGGCAGACAGCGCTTCTTCTCAACCCAATACGAGCATGAGTTTCCCTCCAAGTACCAGGGCCCAGCAGTGCTGAGATTGGTCAATCTGCAGGACAGCCATGTGCCTCTGGGCTCCCCTCGCCAGTGGGGCTGTGGGGCTGGTAAGGTAGACCCTCGGGCCCCCCAGGCCCCCACCTACCCATGCCCTAGACAGCAATAAACAGTGTCTTGGCAGCATCCCACCCCGCCCTCCATCAGTCAGCCATGAAAGAGGATGCTTCGTGGGTTGGGGACGGTACAGGAGAGAGTGACTCCATCAGATAATCCTGAACAGACACTTCCACGGGCCCTGAAGATCGCCCCACTCTGGGCAAGATGGCCATCCCAGCTTGTGCAAAGTCTTGGCTGTTGGACTCAGTGTAAGGTGTTCAGATGCACCAACAAATCTGAACGATGTGAAGAGAGGAGTCATAGCGTTGAACAGGGCAGTGTGGTGAAGGGCTAAGAACACAGATTCCTAGGGCTGGATGGACAGAGTCCAAATCTTAACTCCTCTGTCCTGGATAGTAGTCTTAGGCAGGCACTTAACCCCTCTGAGCCTCATCTGTTTGCTCATCTGTAAAGTGGAGATGAATGGTAGCTCTCTCATTAGAGTGTTATAAATGAGAAATGTACACACTTCAGTGTGTGTGGCTGGGGGTCAAGGAGGGAGAGAGCACTTCCCTTCTGAGCATGAAGGTATGGAGGAAAGAGGAAGATGAGGGTATGGGAAGGAGCCTTCAATCATTGAGAGAGAGGGTGGGGTTCGGGGGGGAGACCGAGGGGGTGGAGAGGCTGAGAGTGACCCAGCAATTTCCTCCATTGTGGGTGAAAGCTGGAAGCTCAACCGTGTGCTGGCTGGCTGGGCAACTAGTCAGAGCTGGGTCCAGGGACAAATCAACAAAAGCCATCATGATATGATCAAGTCCAAGGGAGTAGGTGTCCAGCCAGGGACGAAATGAAAAGGGTGGAAAGGAGGAGGAGGGGGTGGAGCTCCATCACTGATGGGGCTTGACGAGCATGTCAACAAATGGTACCTTGGACAGCGCCCCCATCTTGAAGGTCTGGGTGTGGTGAGATTGGCTCTGTCCAGGATAAAATGGGCCTCAGTGGCCATGCCCAGGGCCTGCTTCTGTCGGCTGTTGGGAATCTGGTTTCAGGGAATGAACATGGCTCCCTGACTCCATCCCTGACTCTGTAATCAGACCTTCAAAGACCAAAGCCTCTTGAGCCACCAAGAGCCAAGCTCAAGCCCGGCCAGGAGCCCTTTCCCCAAGGGCAGCAATTCTGTGAGGCCAGGTTGTCATTTCCACAGGAAGAACAGGAGTCCAGCTTTGGGTCCCACAGAATAAGATGGCCCTTTTGGCTGCTCTCCTATTATCCATACAAGGGTCTGCTAGCTGCAAAACACCTCTTCTGTTTGCTTCCACTAAAAATCTATATGACACACTTCTGAATTACCTCATGATCAATCAGGATTTCTTAATCCCAGTACTATTGACATTTTGGATGGGATCATTCTTTATTGTCAGAGGCCCTCCTGTGCACGTCGGATGTTTAGCATCATCCCTGACCTCTAATCACCATATGCCAATAGCATCCTCCCTTTACCCCAGCCAGCTGTGACAACCAAAAACATCTCCGGGCATTGCCAAATGTCCCCTGGGGGGGGGGGCAAGAGTTGCCCTGCTTGAGAACCACTGCAATAAACCCATCCTGCAGTGATCCCCAGGACAAAATCAGACTCTCCTGGTAAAGCTGGTCTGTTTGTTGATCACACTACTCTTAACTAAAAGACTTTTCCTTTTTGCCTTGCCTGCCAGGAAGCTCAGAAAGCTTACTTTGGTATTCATTTCCATGTAGCTCTGGTTGCAGGAAAATGTGTGCTCCTGCTTGGTTCTAAGAATGGTTTAAAGCACCCAGACACCAGATGAAAAATAATGGGTAGGAGTTCCAAGGAGGCAGATTTATTTCTGCACAAATTGAAGGATTTTCTTTTCTTTTCTTTTTTTTTAAGATTTTATTTATTTATTTGACAGAGATAGAGAGAGAGCACAAGTAGGCAGAGAGGCAGGCAGAGGGAGAGGAAGAAGCAGGCTCTCCGCTGAGCAGGGAGCCTGATTCAGGACTCGATTCCTGGACCCTGGGATCATGACCTGAGCTGAAGGCAGCCGCTTAATCAACTGAGCCACCCAGGGTCTCAAATTGAAGGATTTTCTAACAGTGGAACTGACAAGCCCCAGGATGGTTGCTAGAAAAGAACAGGAGCTTTACTAGAAATATTTTTAGTGCAGAAAGATACTTCATTATGATTTGGGACGTATTTTATGGATTTATGTCTATCCCTCCCTATATTCCACTCACCCTTCCCCACACCAAAAAAGGCATTTCATACCAACTACAAAAACCCAAAAGGCTTATAGACCAAGATGAATAAAGTAGGATTGCACATGGGAGAACAGATTAATTTTTAAAGGAAAACATCATGGAGCAGCAGAATTCAGACCTGCCACTTCCCTGTCTTTCTGTCCTTAGGCAAGTGATGTCATGATCTGCCCCCTCTTTCTTGTACATAAAATGGGGCTGGCAACAGTCCTTCCTTCATGAAGTGGGTACAAGATTTATTTATTTATTTATTTAAAGATTTTTTATTTATTTGTGAGAGAGAATGAGAGACAGAGAACATGAGAGGGAGGAGGGTCAGAGGGAGAAGCAGACTCCCTGCTCAGCAGGGTGCCCGATGTGGGACTCGATCCCGGGACTCCAAGATCATGACCTGAGCCGAAGGCAGTTGCTTAACCAACTGAGCCACCCAGGCGCCCTGGGTACAAGGTTTAAAATGCAAATGAGCCATTCTTAGAACAGAGCCTAGCATTTGGCTGCAGCTTGATGACAGGTGCCCCTATTTTTTTAATGTCTTAGGTCATTTTTGTTGCAAGTGATGGAAGCCTGGCTCGCTCTAGCTCAAGTAGAAAGGGATTTTTATTGACTTTGTTACAAAGAAAACCACAGACCACAAACGGTGTTACTTGGGCCAGGATAAGTCACCAAACCAAGGGTTAATACCTAATCTAATTGCAGTTTCAACCTCCCCCAGAAATGTAAGTCTTAATCTACCAATTGGGAATTTTCTTTTTATAAGCACCAATAAGGTAATCGGTCACATGGGCCTTCTTCATGGACAGAAGATGAGGTAATCCACCTAATAAGATCCCCTACCCTTCCCCTAAGGGAAAGTGACTTTGCCTGGAACAATTCTTTTCTTTTGCCTATAATTTTCTTGCCCTAACCCCCTTCCTATAAAAACCTTCCAACTTGTACAACTCCTCAGAGTGCCCCTCTATGTGTTAGAAGGGATGCTACCTGATTCATAAATCTTTTTAAGATTTTATTTGTTTGAGAGAGAGAGAGAGTGCGCAAGCAGTGAGCACGGGGGTGGGGTGGGATGGGGTAAGGGCAGAGGGAGAGGGAGCAGGCTCCCCGCTGAGCAGGGAGCCCATCGTTGGACTTGATCCCAGGATCAGGACCTGAGCTGAAGGCAGATGCTTAACCAACTGAGCCACCCAGGCACCCCCATGAGCCATTCAATAAAGCCAATTAGATCTTCCAATTTATTTGGATGAATTTTGTTTTTTATAACTTAGAAATAAGAAAATCTGGAATCTACCTCACCACCTCGCAATCCTGTGTCCTTCCAAGCGGTGGCCAAAAAAAGAAGATGCTAGCAATCCAAATACTCTTGATTAGAGCCTCAAAGGAAGGAGACGGTCTTGCCCCAACTCCTCGTCTTGGAACTTAAAGGACACTCTGATTGGCCCACTTGAGTCACATGCCCAGCCATGAACCAATCATTGTGCCCAGAGGGATAGCATGCTATGATTGGATGGCCCAGCTCACAAGCCCACCCCTGGGTGATTTGGTTTCCCAAACCTCACCAGGATCTTTGATCCTGGAGCCCAGCCTTGCTGGACCCTGTCTCCTAGCAACAGATCTGTGCCTGCCCATCCCCTTAGCATCTCTCTTGCCCCTGGTTACAATCTGGAGGGTGGAAAGATAGCTAACAGGCTCTTCCCAATGGAGGGTAATTGTATGTTTATGGACAGGGAGTGTTCGGTGTTACAGAGTAGCCTGAGGCATCAAGTGCCCCCTAGTTCTCCAACAATTCCATTCTTATCTCCCACCCCATTACTAATTTCCTCTTCTAGCTTGGGGCAGAGAATTCAGCTCTGGCAATCACAAAATCAAGCAGATGCTAGTCTCTGCTGCAAGAAGTACATAGGCAGCTTGTGTCTGTCTAGGGAGACCTTGATGAAGGTGCCTAAATATTTCAACATCCTGCTATTTTTCTCCAAAGCCCCTCAAACCACAGTCTCAAGAAACACGTGGTTAGGGCTCCTGGGTGGCTCAGTCGTTAAGCGTCTGCCTTCGGCTCAGGTCATGATCCCAGGGTCCTGGGATCGAGTCCCGCATCGGGCTCCCTGCTCTGCGGGGAGCCTGCTTCTCCCTCTCCCACTCCCCCTGCTTGTGTTCCTGCTCTCGCTCTCTCTCTCTGTCAAATAAATAAATAAAATCTTAAAAAAAAAAAAAAAAAAGAAAAAGAAACACGTGGTTAAAGTCCCAAGATAAAATAGGCAAGATTTTTTTTTTAAGATTTTATTTATTTATTCAAAAGAGAGAGAGAAGGGGGAGGAGCAGAGGGAGAGGGACAAGCAGACTCCATGCTGAGTGCGGAGCCCAATTCGGGGCTTAATCTCAGAACCCTGAGATCACGGCCTGAGCTGAAACCAAGAGTCGGATGCTTTAACCGACGGAGCCACCCAGGCACCCCCAAGGAGGCAAGACTTTTTTTTTTAGGATTTTTATTTATTTGTTTGTTTGACAGAGAGAGAGAGACAGCGAGAGAGGGAACACAAGCAAGGCGGGGTGGGAGAGGGAGAAGCAGGCTTCCCACAGAGCAGGGAGCCTGATGCGGGGCTTGAGACAAGGACCCTGGGATCATGACCTGAGCTGAAGGCAGACGCTTAATGACTGGGCCACCCAGGTGCCCCAGGAAGCAAGATTTTAATCAGCTTATTTTTCTACCACATAACAGAAATTTCTTGCTTCTTGAGGAAGGCTCTTCTCAGGGCAGACTGTATGCACTGCATAAATCTAGGGAGTCCCATTCACTTTGTAGTGAAT